GGGCCGGAGCCGTGGTAGCCCAAGGAGAAACCGTCCGGAGAGTGGTTCCAGACGCGCTGGGACGATTCGGGCAACAGCGGGACGTCGTTGCGGGTTACAACGCTGGGGCCGACTTCGGCCAAATTCTGGCCCGCGTAAATTACGTCGGCGTGAGGCGGGTTGTGATAACATGAAACTGGCATCGCCATACGTCCTAACAATTGGTTGCGGTAGCCTTTGCGCCGGATGGTGGGTTCTAATCAGCACCCGGCGCTTTTGTATTTGGCGTCAGCAAATGATGGCGAAAAGAAAAACGCCCGGTAGCTGTACGCACCGGACGTATGATAGTTTTGGTATGTAGGGTTTGTCAACCCTCAAGTAATCAACTGGTATGGAAGGTTTTACGCGGCCGCCCCCCCCGCCCCCCCTTCTCATGAATAGTGGCAAGGATGTGTTTAACGTCGTCCTCTATAACGACCAAGTAACCTCCGCCCCTCGCTGCTCCCTTCAACCGACCGTGTACTTGAAGGACGCCTCTCTTAACCCACCCGTGCACCCGTTCACGGCTACAACCATATTTCCTGGCGGCGCTGGGGAGGGCAATCATCCCGGGCGGCAGCTCCGTATAAATAGGCAGTTCCTGGTCGTTCTCGGACACGTTGTGGGTACTGCGGCCAATGGTAGGCGCGGTCGGGGCTGAGGTGGCTATTTGTAGATAAGCGATGTTCACCATGTCCAGCAGGTCATCCTTAAGGACACCTGACTCCAAGGCCGCCTGAATGTCGGCCCGGAGGTCCTCCGTAATGGTCGTTGCTGAAGTGGTAGCCATCGCAAAGAACGCAAGCAACCGAGGGTTGGACAAAATAGTGGAGCGGAAGAAGGGATTCGAACCCTCGACCTTCTCCTTGGCAAGGAGACGCTCTACCACTGAGCCACTTCCGCGTGCCAGACGCCGGATGTTGGCCTGATGGATTCAGCCGGGGCAATGGCTTCTGACATTAACAAATTAGCACACGCTCCTCAGTGCTGTAAAGGGTTTTTGGGTGCGGTGCGTCCGGGCGCGCCAGCAAAGATATTCCCCTGCCCTGATGAGGTCGGCAGCGTCGGCGTTTTGTATTCAGAAATAAAATGGTAACAACTGCGCAATATCTGGGTTACATTCCAGAAATCTATCCGTAACACGGCGCGACTATCTTTCCTTCTATTACCCGTGCCGATTGCAACGCAAACCCGACCGCAGTGAACCCCACCGGCAGGCTGCGTCCGGAGCCCATTGCAAACCGCGGGCGACCATTTCAACCTGTAGGAGGAAAAACCCACAATGCCCCACATCAATTTACCTAGCGTCCCCGGTTTCTTACGATATTTGACGTTTGCGCTGGCCGCCAGCCTGACCTTGTTCGTGCTGGCCGCTTGCGGATCCGAACCCGCGCCGGCAGCAGCTCCCACTGCAGCCATGGAAGCCTCGCCAACTGAGGCGATGGCAGACACTACCGCCGCCTCCGATACCATTAAGGTCGGCATCTGCATTCGCTGTCAGGAACCATGGCAATCAGCGAAACCGCCGTCCGCGACGCCGAAATGTTGGCCATCTCGGAAATCAATGCCGCCGGCGGCGTGATGGGCAAGCAGTTGGAAGTAGTCATCGAAGACGGCGCCTCCGACTGGCCGACCTTTGCCGAGAAGGCGCGTAAACTGCTGCAGAACGATGAAGTAGCCGTGGTGTTCGGCGGGTGGACCAGCGCCAGCCGCAAGGCCATGCTGCCGGTCTTTGAGAGCAATAACGGCCTGCTGTTCTATCCGGTTCAGTATGAAGGCCTTGAGTCTTCCCCCAACATTTTCTACACCGGCGCCACCACCAACCAGCAGATTGTTCCGGCGATTGAATACCTGTTGGCGGAGGGCAAGACCAAGTTCTACCTGCTGGGTTCCGACTACGTGTTCCCCCGCACCTCCAACCTGATTATCAACAAGCAGTTGGAAGCCGCCGGGGCTACCGCGCTAGGTGAGAGGACACGCGATGGTCACTACCGAGTACAGCACCGTCATCTCGAAAATTCGGGCCGCTGAGCCGGACGTGGTATTCAACACTCTGAACGGCGACTCCAACGTAGCTTTCTTCAAACAGCTGAAGGACGCCGGCATCTCCGCTGATGACCTGCCCACCGTTTCGGTAAGCGTCGCCGAGGAAGAAATCACCGGCATCGGCGCCGAGAACATCACCGGACATCTGGTTGCCTGGAACTACTTCCAGACCACCGACACGCCGGCCAACGCCGAATTCGTTGCCGCGTTCAAAGCCGCCTACGGCGCCGATCGTGTTACCGATGACCCCATCGAAGCCGGGTATTTCGGAGTTTATCTGTGGAAGGCCGCCGTTGAGGCCGCCGGCTCCACCGACGTCGCCGCCGTGAAGGCAGCCGCCAAGGGCATTTCCTTCGACGCTCGGCGGGATGGTAACCATCCACGATCAGAACCAGCACGTCTCCAAGACGGTTCGCATCGGATCGGTGCGCGCTGATGGTCAGATCGATGAGGTCTGGAACTCCGGTGCGCCCGTGGTGCCAGACCCGTACCTCGACACCTACGACTGGGCCGCCGGCCTGCGCGACCTGGCCCAGTAGTAATTCCCGTCAATGCTGATGGTAGCGGGATCCATTTCGCAACCAGTCAGCAGATGAACTGGCAGATGAAACCCGGCCACGCGCGTCGGGTTTCATCTGGGCGGTTTTCGGCAGACACCATTCGTTGAGTGGGCGCGCCGGTCTGGTATCATTCACCGCCCAGCCATTAAGCGCGACCCCAACCAACCCGCTCATACAAACGTCCGTCCACATGTTTGCTCCGGGGCCCGTGTTGCTTGCTCCCCGGGTACTCAAAACGACGCTGCTGGCGTATAACTATTTGCAGCCATAGCACGGTAGCTCCGAGTTTTCTACGAGCATTCATGGAAATCTGGGCATCACAACTTTTTAATGGGCTCAGCCTGAGTTCGATCCTGCTGCTGATTGCGTTGGGTCTGGCGCTATCCTTTGGATTGATGAACGTCATCAACCTGGCGCACGGTGAATTCATCATGATCGCGCTACACACATTACGCGGGCATTGTGCAGCAGGGCGCCCGCTATTTCACCGGCGACCCCCTGGCCGAAATAACCTTCGTAATCGCCATCCCCGCTGCCTTTCTCGTCGCCGGAGCCGCCGGCATCCTGGTTGAAAACACACTGATACGCTTCCTGTACCGTCGACCTCTCGATACATTGCTGGCTACCTGGGGAGTCGGGTTATTTCTGCAACAACTGGCCCGGTCCATATTTGGCGCGCCCAACGTTCAGGTGGTGGCTCCGGCATGGCTCGGCGGGACAATCTCCGTCACCTCCTCCCTGGTGTTGCCCATGAAGCGGATCTTCATTATCGGCCTGGTGATCGCCTGTCTGGGAGGCTTGTACTGGTATATGTACCGCTCCAACGAAGGCCGAAGGATGCGGGGCGTGATGCAAAATCGGGACATGGCTGCCAGCCTGGGTGTTTCCACGCGACGAGTTGACAGCCTGACCTTTGCGTTGGGCTCCGGGCTTGCCGGAATTGCCGGTTGCGCCCTCACGCTGATTGGGCCGATTGGCCCATCGCTGGGCACGAACTACATCGTGGACTCGTTCATAGTCGTCATCCTGGGGGGCCTGGGACAGGTACCCGGCACAATTCTGGCAGCCCTAATCATCGGGATGCTGAACACCGTGTTCGAGTTCGGCACCACCGCTGTGGTTGGCAAGGTGCTGGTCTTTGCGATGGTAATACTGTTCCTGCAGTGGAAACCCGCCGGCCTGATGCGCGCCCGGGGAAGATAGCGCAACCGTGGTTTCAAAAACTTCCATACTCGGCGCCGTGCGCAACGCGTACTCCCCCACCCGGTTGAGCGAGCGGATTGGCGCTTGGATTCCTCCGGTGATAATGCTGGCGGCGCTGCTCGTTGCTCCGCTGGTGCTGTCGGAATTCCGCATTGCGTTGCTGGGCAAATTCCTGACCTTTGCTATCCTCGCCCTGGCATTGAACCTGATTTGGGGTTACGCGGGTATGCTCAGCCTGGGACACGGCGTCTTTTTTGGCTTGGGCGGATACGCCATGGCGATGTACCTGAAGCTGGAATCCGCTGGCGGCAAGCTCCCCGACTTCATGTTCTGGAGCGGATTGACCGAGCTGCCCATCTTCTGGGCGCCCTTCAAGTATGCCTGGTTCGCCATCCCAATGACATTCATCGTGCCGGCGGCGCTGGCCGGAGCGCTGGGATACCTGGTGTTTCGCAGCCGCATCACGGGCGTGTACTTTGCCCTGATTACCCAGGCGCTGGCGCTGATTGCAAGTATCCTTTTCATTGGACAGCAGCCTTACACTGGCGGCACCAACGGCATCACCAACTACGCCACCATGTTCGGCTTCGCGCTGAACAGCCCGACAATCCAGATTGTCCTTTACTACGTTACCCTGTCGGTGTTGACCGCTGCCTACCTGCTGTGTTCCTGGGTTATCGCCTCGCGGTTTGGCCGTCTGCTGGTGGCCATGCGAGACGACGAGAACCGGGTGCGCTTCTCCGGTTACAATCCGGCGATTCTGAAAACGCTGGTATTCTCACTATCGGCCGGTCTGGCCGGCATCGCGGGAGCGCTGTTCGCCCCGCAGGTGGGCATCATCTCCCCCACCATGATGGGCATTGTGCCGTCGATCGAGGTTGCCATCTGGGTTGCCGTGGGCGGCCGGGGGGTGCTGATGGGCGCCGTGCTCGGAGCCATAGTAGTGAACGGAGCCAAGAGCGGGTTGAGCGAGTCCTTCCCAGCCATTTGGCAGTATTTCCTGGGATTGGTGTTTATCGGCGCAGTTCTGCTTTTCCCGACCGGCATGATGGGCCTGCTGCGAGGTGAAGCCTGGCGACGGCCCTGGTGGTTGCCCAAAGAACGGGCGTTAGGCGCCTGGAAAGGCCTGATTGCAGGAGTAAAACGATGAACCTCGGCCGCATAGGACGTCGCATGAGACCAGTTCAACCTCAGAACTCCAACGGCGCTGGCCCACCACCGGAAACTGCCGGCCACATTCTGTCCGTGCAGTCCCTGACGGTGAGCTTTGATGGATTCACGGTGCTGGATGAACTGGATTTCTCAATGGAATACGGCGAGATGCGCTTTCTCATTGGCCCGAACGGGGCCGGCAAGACCACCCTCATCGACGTCATAACCGGCAAATCCAAACCCGATAGCGGCCGCATCATTTTCGATGGCGCCACTGACCTGAGACGCCGGCAGGAACATCAACTGGTGCGTCTCGGCGTAGGTCGCAAATTTCAGACGCCGGCCATATTTTCCAGTCTATCCGTCTATGAGAATCTGGAAGTTACGCTGGGATTCCGCGCCAAAATCACCAGCCTGTTGGGTGGACACCGGCGGGGGGACGCCGACCGGATTCAGGCCACCCTGGAACAGGTGGGGCTGGATCGCCGGGCCAAAGATATTGCCGGCGCGCTGTCCCACGGAGAAAAGCAGTGGCTGGAAATCGGTATGCTGCTGGTGCAGGAGCCGAAATTGCTGCTGCTGGACGAACCCGTGGCCGGCATGACGCGCCGTGAACGGGAACGCACCGGAGAACTGTTGCAGGCCATTGGCAACGACCGGTCGGTGCTCGTGGTCGAGCACGATATGGAGTTTGTCCGCCAGTTTGCCCGCACCGTTACCGTGTTGCATCTGGGCAAAGTGCTCAGCGAGGGTCCCATGGACATGGTTCAGCAAGACCCGGAAGTCATCAGGGCCTACCTCGGTCATGGAAAGACCAAACGAACCGAGTCCGGTGGGGCCGCCAACCAGAACGTCGCCGGCAGTCGCGTTGGCGTTCAAGCCGTCGTGGTCGAATAGTTCAGACTGAACGAATCCACTCTGTCCACGAATACTACCAAGCGATAATTCCATGCAATACAAAGAACCGTTGTTGAACATCCGCGGCCTGGCCGTGGGATATGGCCAAAGTCTGGTGTTGTCCGATGTAGCGCTGGAGGTACCGGAAGGCCAGGTGGTGTGCTTGATGGGTCGTAACGGCGTCGGCAAAACGACCCTGCTCAAGGCGATAATGGGTTTGCTGAACCCACGGGCCGGACAGGTCAGGTTCGCCGAAAACGACCTGACCAAATGGGCGCCGCACCGGCGGGCCAAAGCCGGCTTCGGATACGTGCCCCAGGGTCGGCACATTTTCCCCTACCTGACCGTCAACGAAAACCTGTTGATGGGCCTGGAAGCGTTTCCTGGCAAGAAGGGCCGCCCCGAGGCAGTGGACAGAATGTATACTCTGTTCCCCGCCCTCAAACTGAACCCAAAAAAGACGGCGGGCACCTTGAGCGGAGGCCAGCAGCAACAATTGGCCCTGGCTAGGGCGTTGATTCGCCAGCCCAGGCTGCTGTTGCTGGACGAACCCACGGAAGGCATTCAACCCTCCATCGTTCAGGAAATCGAAGAACTTTTGCAGCGACTCCGTGACCAGCAGGACACCACCATTCTGCTCGTAGAGCAGTTCCTCGATTTCGCCCTCGGCATCGCGGACTATTGTTACGTGATGGAAAAGGGAGCGATCGTGCTGGAAGGCACGGCTCGGGATTTAGACTACAATCTGGTGCGCGAGTACGTCGCGGTCTGACGCTCCGCCCAAAACCAATTTAGAGGGGTGATGATGTCCACTGAAGGGATCAACGACCGGGAATCTGTATTGCGCATCGCCCGGGAGAACGACGTGAAGTTCGTGCGCCTATGGTTCACCGACATTCTGGGCAAACTGAAGGGCTTTGCCATCAATGTCGATGACCTGGAAGATGCCCTCGAACTGGGCGTGGGCTTTGACGGCTCGGCCATCGACGGTTTTGCGCGGCACCACGAGAGTGATATGCGGGCTTTCCCCGACCCTGCCACTTTCACCCTCCTGCCCTGGCGACCGCGCCAGAACGCCGTGGCCCGGATGATCTGCAACATTCGGCAACCCCGCGGCCAGACCTTCCCCGGCGACCCTCGCTATGTGCTCAAACGCAACCTGGAGAAGGCCGCCGCATTGGGCTTCACCTACTACGTAGGCTCCGAGTTGGAGTTCTTTTACCTGAAAAACGCCCAAACTCCGGAACCGCTGGATTTTGACGGTTATTTCGACCAGCTGTCCAGCTATCCGGCCTCCGACCTGCGTCGCGACACGGTGCTGAACCTGGCGGAAATGGGCATCCCGGTAAAATATTCCCACCACGAGGGGGCGCCCAGCCAGCACGAAATTGACCTGGAACATACCGATGCGCTGGCGATGGCAGACAATCTGATGACCGCCAAACTGGTCATCAAGGAGCTGGCCCAACTCCAGAATGTTCACGCCACGTTTATGCCCAAGCCCATTTCCGGCATCAACGGGTCAGGCTTGCACCTGCACCAGTCCCTGTATCGAGAAGGCAGCAACTGTTTCTACGACGCTGACGATGAGCAGTACCTGTCGGTGCTGGGCAAACAATTCATCGCCGGCTTGATTGCCCACGCACCGGAAATCACCGCCGTGACCAACCAGTGGGTTAACTCCTACAAGCGACTGGTGCCCGGTTACGAAGCTCCGGTTTACGTCTCCTGGACCCATGTGAACCGGTCCGACCTGGTGCGCGTTCCATCCTACAAACCCGGCGCCGAGAGTTCCATCCGCGTAGAATATCGGGCGGCTGACCCGGCGTGCAATCCCTACCTGGCGTTCAGCGTCATGCTGGCAGCCGGACTCCGGGGCATCGAGGGACAGTACCAGGTGCCGCCGCCGGTGGTTGGCAACGTCCTGGAAATGACCCCCCAGCGTCGCCAGTCGCTGGGGATCCGCACTTTGCCCGGCAGCCTGGGCGAGGCCATCAACCTGGCGGAAAATAGCGAGTTGCTGTACGAGGCGCTGGGCGACCACGTGTTCAACAGCCTGATCGAAAATAAAAAGATTGAATGGGAAGACTATCGTTCGACGGTTACCGACTACGAAGTCTCCCGGTACCTTTCCACCCTGTAATGGGCGAGGAACAGCCTTATGATGCTCACCCCCCGTGAATCGGAGAAATTGCTGGTTTACGTGGCCGCTGATTTGGCCCGCAAACGTCGAGGGCGCGGTTTGAAGCTCAACGTCCCCGAATCTGTGGCCCTCATCACCGAGGCGATACTGGAGGCGGCCCGCGACGGCAAATCCGTTACCGAGACGATGGAGTTGGGACGCCAGGTGCTGGCCCGGGAGGACGTAATGGAAGGCGTGCCGGAACTGGTGGACATGGTGCAGGTTGAAGCAACGTTCGTGGACGGCACCAAGCTCGTGTCCTGCCACGACCCCATCGTATAGCGCCGGCCTCGCGCTGGCCTACCGGATTCAAAATGAGCACAGAAACCGGACCTTACATCATCTCCGACGAACCCATCGAGATCAACGCCGGCCGGCCCACGTGCACGCTATCGGTCTGGAACACCGGCGACCGGGCCATTCAGGTCGGTTCACATTTTCATTTCTTTGAGGTGAACCGAGCCTTGCGCTTCGACCGGGAGGCCGCGTTCGGTATGCGGCTGAACATTCCGGCCGGGACGGCGGTTCGTTTCGAGCCTGGCGACCGCAAAGAGATAAACCTCGTGGCAGTGGGCGGCACCCGCCGCGTCAGCGGCCTGAACGGCCTAACCGACGGCCACCTGGACGCGCCGGCGGTTCGGTCCCGTGCGATTGCATCCTTGCTGCAACTGGGCTTCGCCAATCAACCGTCAGACCGCGCCAGCGACGACGCGGAGGGATAGCATGGCACGCATCAGCCGCCGACAGTACGTGGAACTTTACGGCCCAACCGTCGGCGACCGCTTCCGCCTGGCCGACACCTCGCTGGTTTGCGAAATCGAACGGGACCTGCTCACCTACGGCGAAGAACTGGTCTTCGGGGGCGGGAAAACCGCCCGCGACGGCATGGGGCAAGCATCGGCGATGACCAATCGCGACGGCGCGCTGGATCTGGTGATAACCAACGCCATCGTCATGGATCCGGTGCTGGGGATTGTCAAAGCCGACATCGGCATCAAGCAGGGTCTCATCGTCGGCATCGGCAAGTCGGGCAACCCGGGCGTGATGGACGGCGTGCATCCCGATCTGGTTGTCGGTCCGGGCACCGAGGTCATCGCCGGAGAGCACCTCATCGCCACGCCGGGCGGTATCGACGCCCACATCCACATGATTGCCCCGCAGCAGGTTCACCACGCCCTGTCCAACGGGATCACCACGATGATTGGCGGTGGCACCGGCCCCGCCGACGGCACCCGCGCCACCACCTGCACCCCTGGGCCCTGGAATACCTCGCTCATGCTGCAGGCCGCCGAGTCGCTGCCCGTTAACTGGGGACTATTGGGCAAGGGCAACGCCAGCGACCCGGCCCCTCTGGAAGAACAACTGGAAGCTGGAGCAAGCGGCCTGAAGCTCCACGAAGACTGGGGGACGACACCGGCAGCCATCGACTGCTGTCTGACCGTGGCCGACCGCTACGACGTGCCGGTCGCCATCCATACCGATACCCTCAATGAAGCCGGCTTCGTCGAAGACACCATCGCCGCAATCGCCGGTCGGGCGATACACACCTACCACACCGAGGGCGCCGGCGGCGGCCACTCCCCCGACATCATACGCATTGCCGCCGAGCTTAACGTGCTGCCGTCCTCGACCAACCCCACGCGTCCTTACACGGTCAACACTCTGGCGGAACACATGGATATGCTGATGGTGTGCCACCACCTGAACCCCCGCGTGCCCGAGGATGTTGCCTTCGCCGAGAGCCGAATCCGCCCCGAAACGATGGCCGCCGAAGACGTGCTGCACGACCTGGGCGTGATCAGTATGTACGCCTCCGATTCCCAGGCGATGGGCCGCGTCGGCGAGAATTTCACACGCCTGTTCCAGACTGCTGACAAGATGCGCCAGTTCAAGGGCAAGCTCTCGGAAGATTCACCGGACAATGACAATTTCCGCGTGCTGCGCTACCTGGCCAAGCTGACCATCAACCCGGCCATCACCCACGGCATATCCCATCTGGTCGGCTCGCTGGAGCCGGGCAAACTGGCCGACATCGTACTCTGGCCCATCGGTTCCTTCGGAGCCAAGCCGAAAATGATCCTCAAAGGCGGAATGGTGTCCTGGGCGGTGATGGGCGACCCCAACGGCTCCATCCCCACCGCCGAACCCTCCTTCTACCGTCCCATGTTCGCCGCGCTGGGTCCGGCGCTGTCCAGCACCTGTCTGACCTTTGTGTCCCGGCGGGCCTACGAATTGGGTGTCCATCAGGAGTTGGGATTGCGGCGCCGCGTCGAGGCGGTGCGGGGATGCCGCACCATCACCAAGCGTCAAATGGTGCGCAACGACGCCATGCCCACCATCGAAGTTGACCCCGAAACCTACCAGGTGCGAGTCGACGGTGAACTGGCAACCGTACCCGCTGCCGAACGCCTCAGCCTCGCCCAACTGTTCTTTCTGGTCTAGCGAGCGCCCACCGCCATGACGCATGATACCGATCGGCAGCTTCTGGTCGCTCTGCAACTGGCCGACTCTTTTTTTCCGACCGGGATGTACGCCCATTCGCAGGGGCTGGAAAGCATGGTCGCCTGGCGTTGGGTACACTCCGCCGACGATGTTCAGCAGATGTTGGCCAACCTGCTCACCTGGTCGGTGCTGCCCTCCGACGGCGTGGCGCTGCTGAACGCTCGCCGGGCAGCCGGCCGGGCAGATTCCAGCGAGCTGGTAGCAATAGACTGGAATTTACATGCCATGAAGCTGCCCGCCGAAACGCGCGCAGCCTCCCGCCAAACTGGTCGCCGCATTCTTGACGAATCCGCCCTGTTGCTCGGTTCCGACCAGCCCTGCCCGGTTTACGAACGATACCGGACAGATGTGGCGAGCCAGCGCGCGCCTGGCACCGGCGCCGTGGCCCTCGGTGCAACGGCCTGCGCCGCGGGCATCCCGCCGCAAACCGCGCTGCTGATGTTCTGCCACAGTTTCGCGGTAGGTGTGTTGGGAGCAGCGCAACGGTTGCTGCCGATGACACACTCGGAGGCCCAACAGATACTGCATTCGCTGCACGAGCCGATCGCAGCGATGAGTAATGAAATCCAACACCGCCCGTGGCAGCAAATGACGGCGTTCGCGCCACAGTCCGACATCGCATCGATGCTGCACGAATGCGACGATCTGCGTATGTTTGCCAGCTAATTCAGATGATTCGGGGATCAGGAAGGGCTGTCACAACCGGGGCACAAGAGGAGCACAGGAATATGTCCAGAATCCCGAGGATTGGTGTCGGCGGGCCGGTGGGCTCGGGCAAGACGTCCCTCATCGAGTCGCTGGTGCCACTGTTATTGTCTCAAGGACTCCAGCCGCTGATAATTACGAACGACATATTCACCCGAGAGGATGCCGACCATGCCAAAAAAGCGCTGAACGCCGTGTTTGACACCGGTCGCATTCGAGGCGTCGCTACCGGAGCCTGCCCGCACACGGCGGTGCGCGAAGACCCCAGCCTGAATCTAATAGCCGTGGAAGAGCTGACCAACGCTTACCCTGACTCCGACATCATTCTCATCGAAAGCGGTGGCGACAACCTCACGTTGACCTTCAGTCCCGCGTTGGCGGACTACCAGATTTACGTCATCGACGTGGCCGCCGGCGACAAAATCCCTCGCAAGCGAGGGCAGGGCATCACTCAAACAGACTTGCTGGTCGTCAACAAAACCGACCTGGCTCCCTACGTTGGCGCCGACCTGGACGTAATGCGTCGCGACCTTGCCACCGTTCGGGGCCAGCAGCCGTGGTTGTTCACCAACTGCCGCACAGGTGATGGCCTGGAACCGGTGCTGGCTCATATCCTCGAGGCAATGGATGCTTCGCCAGCCCGTTATTGACCCACCGCATCCGGCGCAGCGGGGATTGGCAAAGCTGGTTCTGGCGCTGCGCGACGGGAAAACCCGGTTGACGCAATGCCGCACCGAATCGCCTCTCGTGGTGCAGCGGGCACATTATCTCGACGAATCGCTGCCCGAAATGGCTTTCATCTATCTGGTCAACCCGACCGGCGGGTTTCTGCAATACGATCAGCATCGGGTGTGCATCACGGCGTGCACCGGTGCCCAGGCGCACATCACAACTCAGAACGCCACCAAGTTGTACGCCATGCCCGACGGGTCAGCGCGCCAGGAGGTTCAGTTGACGGTGGAAGCAGGCGGCTACCTGGAGTATCTGCCAGACCCCATCATCCCGTTTGCGGCGGCTAATTTTGAACAATCCACCTGCGTAGATGTGGCGCCGGGCGGCACTCTATTGCACTGGGAAGTCATCACACCGGGCCGCGTTGCTATGGAGGAACGCTTCCGGTACGCCCGCCTGTGCAGCCGCTTGACTGTCAACGGCCAGCACGGACACCCAGTTTATCGGGAAGCTTTTGATTTGACTCCCACGACCCGCAACCCGCTCGGGATAGCGGTTTTGGGCTCCGGGGCGGACGACGCGCCAGGCTTTGTATCAGCTCCTACACTGGGTTCCACGCTGTGCGTGACCGACGCACCGGGAGTGCGTACCATACTGGAACAGCTGCAAAAATTGCTGCAAGCGCGTGCCGATGTGCAAGGCGGAGCCAGCACCTTGCCCGACGGAAACGGCCTCGGTGTGAAGGTCATCGGCCCAGACGCCGCCATCGTCCAGACGGTGTTGGCAGAATGCTGGTCGGTGTGCCGGCAGCAAATCCTCGGTGTCGGGGCGCCCTTCCTGCGGAAATATTAACGAGATTCAACTAACAAAGCTCCCCGGATAATAAAAATCCCCGACGTCTAAACGTCGGGGATGCTTACTCTGGTAGCGTGAGTTGGCGAGGGAGCCTACTCCATCGCGAATCCTTCGTAGCCGTTGGCCACAACCTCGGCACGCTTGGCTCTCATGGCCGGAGCGCTGTCGGGAGCAGTCAGCAATACCCGCGCCTTGCCAGGGATGTTTGCGCCCACGAACCAGGAATTGGCCTGCGTCCGCAGAATTTTAGCGCCGCCCTCGCAAACGTGCTGCACCCATTCCTCTTCCGCAGTGGGCGTGGCGGCAACCCGGGCATACCCTTTGTTGCGCACATAGTCGATGCACTCGGTCACCCAATCCACCAGTGGCTCGGCAGCGCGCACGAAGTTGCCCACCGAGGCGGCATTGACGGTAAACAGGTTTGGAAAGCCGGAGCTGGAAATTCCCATGTAGGCACGCGGGCCATTGGCGAATTTTTCCTGCAGCGTCTCCCCGCCCAGACCCTGGATGCGCATCCGGTTCAGGGAGCCGGTAACCGCGTCGTAGCCGGTGGCGAATATAATCACATCCAGCTCGTACTCGGCGGCGGCGGTTTTGAGGCCTTTGGGCGTAATACGCTCGATGGGAGCTTCCCGCACGTCAACCAGCAGGACGTTGTCCTGGTTGTACACCTCGTAATAACCGCTCTCACACGGCAAGCGCTTGGAGCCAAACATGTGATCTTTGGGCACCAACATTTCGGCAACTTCCGGGTCATGCACCCGTTCGCGGATCTTGTTGCGCCCAAACTCCGCGTAGTCCTCGTTGGCCTCGCCGGGCAACATCACGTCGTAGAAATTACTCAGCCATTCCTTGAAACCGGGTTCCGCCCATAGAGCTTCGTATTGATCCATCCGTTCCTCGGGCGGAACGTCCAGGCCGGATCGTGGGTCGAACTGGTGCATAAACGACCCGGGGGTTTCCAGACATTTCTCGAAAATCTCCGGGTAACTCGCCTTGATTTCCTGCTGCATCTGGTCGTCGATGAGGCGGTTGCGCAGCGGCGCGCAGTAGTTGGCGGTACGCTGGAACACGGTCAGATGTGCGACTTCCTTGGCAATTTCCGTGATGAGCTGTACGCCGGTTGCGCCAGTACCGACAACGCCGACGCGCTTGCCGGCCAGGTCCATCCCTTCTGCCGGCCAGCGACCGGTGTGGCACCACTGCCCTTCGAAGCTGTCGATTCCTTCAAAATCCGGAATGTAGTGCGCGGACAGAATGCCCACCGCTGTAATCAGGAATTGGGCACGCGCCCGGTAGCCGTCCGCAATCTCCACTTCCCAGCGGTTATCATCCTCATCGAATACGGCCGACACCACGCGAGAGTTCAACCGGATGTTCCGGCGCAGGTCAAATTTGTCCGCCACGTAATTCAGGTAGCGCTCATTCTCCGGCTGGCCGGAATACAGTTCTTTCCAGTCCCACTCTTGCAGGAGATCTTCGGAGAAGGAGTATCCGTAGGTATAACTCTCAGAGTCGAACCGCGCCCCTGGATATCGGTTCCAGTACCAGGTGCCGCCGACGCCGGTGCCATCCTCGAACGCCTGAACCGAGAACCCCAGCTCCCGCAAGCGGTACAGCGAATACAACCCGGTAACGCCGGCCCCAACGACGATGGCATCGAACTCGGCCACACCATCATCCGACCGCGTACCAGTTGCACTATTGTTTTCTAGAGAACTCGTCATGCTTCCCCCTTCGGTCGCAGTACCAATCCGGTCTCCACGACCCATGCGCTCACGTAGCCATCGCCGCGCCAAACGGCGATGCATTCATTCCCAGAACCGCCCCACATCCCCATTACTGCGGATTATAACCGATTGGCGCGCCGGCAGCACGACCAGACCCGGGTCGATGCCGTAACGATTGGAGCCCATGGCGGTGATACGGGGATTGACCGAGTTGGTTCGGGTGTTTAGAGTGCAACTCAACAGGATCAGACCGCACCCAACGGAAGGAGTACACCATGCCTCATTACATGTACGTGGCGGTTCAGGGAGACAACAAGATATCGGTCTTTACCGTAGACCCCCAAACTGGCGATTTGACTCCTCAGGCTGATGTATCCGTTCCCGGCGGGCCGTTCACCATGGCGATCAGTCCCGATAGCCGGTACCTGTATGCCGGGTGCCGGGAAGTCCAACAGATAGTCAGCTTCCAGATTGACCAGGCCAATGGCGGGCTCACACAGAACGGGTCGGTTGGCGTGGAAGCATGGCCCACCTACATTGCTACTGACCGCAAGGGCAAGTTCGTCCTGTCGGCCTATTACCAGGGCGCCCACGTGGGAGTGCATCCCATCGGGGACGACGGTTCGGTGGGCGGCGCACCCATCGAGTGGCTGGAAACGGCCACCGGCGCCCACGCCATGCAAACCGACCCGACCAACACCTACGCTTTCGTTCCCCATATCGCCGGCAATGGCCCCAACTCTATCTATCAGTTCCGGTTCGACGAGAACACCGGCCACATTTCCTACAACACGCCTCCGTCAGTGGAACCGGTGGCGTTTTCAGGTCCTCGACATTTCTGCTTCCACCCCTCGCTGGACGTCCTTTACTTTTCCGACGAACAGGGGTGCAGCGTTACCGGGTATCGCCTGGATACGGCGCAAGGAACCCTGGCCGAATTCCAGACCGTTACCACTATTCCAGAAGGTTTTAACGAGCGGAACACCTGCTCCCAGATTCAGGTTGCTGCCTCCGGCAGGTTCCTGTTCGCTCCCAACCGGGGACACGACAGCATTGCCTGCTTTACGGTTGATACCGCTTCGGGTGAGTTGTCATCCAACGGGATCGTTCCCTCTGAGGCCCGACCTAACGCGTTGTGCCTGGGCCCTGGTGACCGGTTCATCTACTCGGCCGGCCAGGATTCCGGCCAGATGGCGATCTTCAGCGTCGACCAGCAATCCGGTGAGTTGAGCCGGGCGGGGACGCTACCGTTGGGAAATGGCCCGGGCTGGATTTCCGTCACTGAGTTGCCGGGTTAGTCAGTACCCAACGGGTCAGGAAACCGAAACGCCCGGAGCGCTGGACAGCCTCCGGGCAACCTTTGCCGGTTGAAGCCGGTCGGGCGCAGGCTCCCCGCTTATCGGGATGCGCAATTCGTCGCGTGCAGCTGATTGATTACGATTAATAGCAAAATATCGGTGCAGAGTTGCCGTATCATTGACGTTGGTGCGCCACGTACCCTAAACTCCGATCATTGGCCGAGACCGGCAACGTAGCCGTTCTCCACTGCCACGCATGGCACGGCACGAGACTGGAGGCAAATTATGGCTCATTACGACATCATCATCCGGGGAGGCACCATAGTTGACGGAACCCGCACACCGCGGTTCGTCAGCGACGTCGCAATCAAGGACGGCAAAATCGCCAAGATTGGTGGACTCAACGGTGGCACCGCCGACCGTGTCCTCGATGCCAAGGGATTGATCGTGGCCCCGGGTTTCGTCGACCTGCACACTCATTATGACGCCCAGATTTTCTGGGATCCCTACTGCACGCTGTCCGGCTGGCACGGCGTAACGTCGGTGGCGCTGGGCAACTGCGGGTTTGGCTTCGCCCCCTCCCGCGTGGAGGATCAGGACCGCGCCATGCTCAGCATGACCCGCAACGAGGCCATCCCCTACGATGCAATGAAAGACGGTATGCCCTGGAACTGGGTTACCTTCCCCGACTTTATCGATAGTCTCGCCAACACTCCCAAGGGTATTAACTGCCTGACCTATGTTCCTCTCACCCCGCTGTATGCCTGGGTGATGGGCTGGGATGAAGCGAAGCAACGGCGCCCTACCGAAGCAGAATTGCAGGAAATGGTTCGACTCATTAACGAAGCGATGGATGCCGGCGCGTGCGGATGGTCGGCCCAGGTCCTCGGCGTGAACTCGGTGCAACGCGACTACGACGGCACGCCGATGATTACCGATATGCTGTCGGAGCACGAGGTGCTCACCTTCGCCAAGGTTCTCAGCGACCGCGACGAGGGCTTTATTGAGTTAGCCTATCAGGAGACCGGCGAAGAAGGCCGTCCACTGGGTGAGGAAACTCGCCTGTTCTTCGAAAAGGTGGCGGAGACTGCCAATCGGCCCGTGCTCTATCAGGCCGTCGCCCCCAACGCAGTCCATCCCGAACAGCATCGGGAGCGCATCCGGTGGCTGGAAAGCTGCGCCGAGCGCGGCCTGCGAGTCTACGGCCAGGGTGCGACCCGTCGCGGCGGCTTTGAGCTGACCTTTTGAAGACTGGAACCTTTTTGACGACACACCCGCCTGGCGCGACGTAACCCTGGGCAACAAATCGGAACGCAAGGCGAAGATGCAGGATCCGGAGATGCGGCGCCGGTTGAAAGACGAGTGGGACTCTGGCCGCCGCCCGACCCAGGTGGTACCTGGTTCCGTGGGCAGCCTCCAGGTGATGACCCGCAAGGTCAAGATCGACATCGGTATGGAATCGGACTACCCACACCTGCCGGCCAAGGTCAACGCGGGTGGCGCGGATTACTTCCTGACCAAAAACCGCGACGGGTACAAGTTGCTGTCCGTGGTTTGCGCACACCAAGGCGGAACCGTCGACAGTGACGGCTGCCAGTTCGTATGCGACACCCACGGCTACGAATACGAGCACGACGGCGGACGCTGCATCACCAATCCCGACCTGCGGTTGAAATCCTTCGTCGTCAACGTAGTCGACGGGCGGATGATTGCCCTGGCGCCGGACGAAACTGAGGCCTCCAGCCCTCAGGCGGGACAGACCGTACAACAGATTGCCGACGAGCAGGGCAAGCACGTTATTGATGCGCTGCTGGATATGTGCGTTGAGGACGACCTTGCCACCGAGTTCTTCGCCGATTCTCAGGGTCGCGACCAGGCGCAGTACACCGCGGAGGTGCTGGACTCGATCCATGTCGTTGCCGGCGTATCCGACGGCGGCGCCCACGTCAAGTTCCTGACCGCCGGAACCTACCCAACCGACATGCTGACCTGGCTGGTTCGTGACGAGGGCGTCATCACCCTCGAGGATGCCCACTTCAAGCTGTCCTACCTGCCAGCCCACTTCGGCGGGTTCCGGGACCGTGGCGCAATCAAGGAAGGTGTTCCAGCCGACATCGTAGTCTACGACCTGGACAAGCTGGAAGTGCTGCCCTCCGAAGTGGCCGAGGACCTGCCTGGCGGTGAGTGGCGCCGTATCCAGAAGGCCAACGGTTACCGCTGGACCATGGTCAATGGCGAGATTACCTTCGAAGATGGCGAGCCCACCGGAGCCTTCCCGGGTCGTTTGCTCCGTAACGGCATCGGGTAGACACTCACTACCCATCCGGCAACCGATTCGGGCGCCTGGTGGGCGAGTCAACGTCCCAACCGACGTAGCGGGGGGTCGCAGTGAATTCTGCGACCCCCTTCGGTTGATACTTGGCCAGCCTGGCGTTATCTTGACCCCCACAATCACAAAGATCCGCATACCTGCAAAAGAGGCGTAACAATGAAATACGACGTTATCGTGATCGGGGCCGGCTCCGGCGGTTGTGTGGTGGCATCCCGGTTGGCCGAGGACGCAAACCGCTCGGTGCTGCTGCTTGAAGCCGGCCCGGACTATCCCGACTACCAGTATTATCCGGACGACCTGAAGTACGGCTACAAGCCTGACGCCTCGGCCCAGGGCGCTCCCCACAACTGGACGTGGTGGGCTCAGGGTTCTGCGGAGCAGGCCAATATGCTGCCAGCGCCTCGCGGTAAAGTGGTGGGCGGAACCAGCGCCATCAACGGACAGGTGTTGTTGCGTGGCGTCCCGGAGGACTACGACGGGTGGGCCGCTGCGGGGAACGACCAGTGGTCGTTCCTGGACGTGCTGCCATTTTTCCGGAAGATGGAAACCGACCTGGACATTAGCGACGACTTCCACGGCAGCGAAGGGCCGATTCCGGTGCGGCGATTCAAGGCGGAAGACTGGTTGCCGTTTCAGCAAGCATTTGTCCAATCCTCGTTGGCAGCGGGCTATCCGGAAGATTACGACATGAACGCTCCGGACTCCGGTGGTGTCGGGCCGATCCCGATGAACAACCCGGAGGGAGTGCGCATGAGCACCGCCCTCACCTTCCTCAGCGCGGTGCGGCACCGGCTGAACCTGACCGTGCGCGCCAACGTCATGGTGCATCGGATCCTGTTTGAAGGGAAAAAGGCAGTGGGTGTGGAGGTGGAAAGCGGTGGCGAGGTTTACCAAATCGAGGCCGGCCAGATTGTGCTTAGCGCCGGCTCGATGGCATCGCCGCAGCTGCTGATGCTTTCAGGCGTCGGCCCCGCCGACCACCTGCGAGAGCTCGGCATTCCAGTGGTTCACGAACTGCCGGGCGTGGGCCAGAACCTGCGCGACCATCCGATTGTGGCTGTAATCTGCCAGGTTCGCGACGATCATCCCCAGGACCCGCTGGCGCCCAGGTCCCAAACCGCCCTGCGGTACACGGCCACCGGCTCCGCCGACCGCAACGACATGCAGATTACGGCTTCCTCATTTTCGTCTCCTATTGGCGGCGCAGACCCCTTTGACCCCGAAGGCGTCCGCTTCAACTGCATCCTGGAACTGGCCGACGGGGCCGGCCAGGTGAGGCTCTCCGCCAACGATCCCAGCGTCCAGCCCTCCCTGAACTATCGGTACCTGGAGTTGGCGCGGGACCGGGAACGGCTGCGCGAGTCCGTAAGAATCACCGTCGATTTACTCCGGCACGAATCATTCAGTCCGATCGTGGAACGAATCCTGCAACCCACGGAGGAAGACCTTGCTTCCGACGAGGCGCTGGACAACTGGATGCTCAGGACGGTGTTCAACACCACCCATGCGTCTGGCACCTGCAAGATGGGTCCGGCCACCGACGCGATGGCAGTCGTGGACCCGTTCCTCAACATTCACGGTCTGATAAACGTCAAGGTGGCCGATGCCTCGGTGATGCCCAACGTCATCAGGGCCAACACCAACTGCACCACCATAATGATTGGCGAACGGTGCGCCGACTGGGTCAAGGCCGGTCAATGACAGGCGGCACTATGCCGGCGGCCAGGACTACCTAGGCCTTATCGCTATGAGTTACGGGCACGATATGTGCGTAGCAAAAATGGTGCCGAGAGGCGGATTCGAACCACCGACACCGGCATTTTCAGTGCCGTGCTCTACCAAGCTGAGCTATCTCGGCTAAAGACTTGGTTAATCATACCGCCACGCCAAATGAAGTGTCAAACTCGTTGACCACGCCGTGGCGCTTTTGGTTTATTAAAGCCCGCGTTGTGGCTGAACAGGCGACCCCGACGAAACGGGGTGGGCTCTCATGCGTACCCACCGTGTCAATGCGAGCGTAGCTCGGCAATCCCGTCGCCGTAGCAACGGCGGTTCGCCGACGTGTGTTCAACCTCATCGAGATTGCCACGTTGCTATGCTCCTCGCAATGACCGATGAAAGTGGGTACGCGTGAAAGTGGGTACGCGTGAGGGTAGGGCCTGATTGATTAGCGTTGCGTCGGCGGCTATAATGAGATCTCAATATCCCAGTGGAGAGGAGGCATCCCCATGGTTGACGTCCTTACCGGCACTTTTACCGTAAAATCTGGCCATGCCCAAATGCTGAAGGGCGGCGTCATCATGGACGTTGTCAATGCAGAGCAGGCCCGCATCGCTCAGGACAACGGCGCGGTAGCCGTGATGGCCCTGGAACGCGTACCGGCTGACATCCGCGCCGACGGCGGCGTGGCACGCATGAGCGACCCGACGATGATCGCCGAAATCATCGACGCTGTATCCATACCCGTCATGGCCAAGTGCCGCATTGGACACTTTGTAGAGGCTCAGATCCTGCAGGCAATGGGCGTTGACTACGTGGACGAGTCGGAGGTACTGACGCCGGCTGACGAGATGCACCACGTGTGGAAGCACGACTTTACCGTGCCCTTCGTGTGCGGTTGCCGCGACCTGGGTGAGGCGCTGCGTCGTATCTCCGAGGGCGCTGCCATGATTCGCACCAAGGGCGAGGCTGGCACCGGCGACGTGGTGGAGGCCGTGCGCCATATGCGCGCCGTGCAGGACGCCATACGCAAGCTGCAGAATATGCCCGATGACGAGTTGGTGGTGGAAGCTCGCGATTTGCGAGTGAGCCTGGATTTGCTCCAGCAGACCCGCGAGGAAGGACGTATGCCCGTGGTCAACTTCGCCGCCGGCGGAGTGGCCACTCCCGCCGACGCTGCCCTCATGATGCAGTTGGGCGCCGATGGCGTGTTCGTTGGATCCGGCATCTTCAAGTCGGGAGACCCGGCCCGCCGCGCCCATGCCATTGTGCAGGCTGTTACTCACTACCAGGATGCCAAAATCCTGGCAGAGGTATCCAAGGACCTGGGCGAAGCAATGGTCGGCATCTCCACGCGTTCGATTCCCGCAGAGCAACTGCTCGCCACCCGCAGCATATAAACGGTGTAACTTCTCACTAACGTTGATCCGCCGGCGGGTGCGCCAGCGGTATTCGACCAGGACAACGGCTGGACATTTAGTTGAACATCGGCGTTTTGGCTGTACAGGGGGATTTCGCGGAGCACTGCCACGTGCTTCGGAAGATTGGCTCCACCGCCACCGAGGTACGCCTGCCAGACCAACTGGACGGGCTGGACGGGTTGATCATCCCCGGTGGCGAGAGCACCACATTGAGCCGCCTGATGTCGTTGTACGGGTTGCGGGAACCGGTAGCCCGCCTGGCCAAATCTGGAAAAGCGGTGTGGGGAACCTGCGCTGGCATGATAATGCTAGCTTCGGAGATTACCGAGGAAGACCCGGTTCCCCTCAAACTGATGGACGTGGGCGTGCAGCGCAATGCCTTCGGGCGGCAGGTGGATTCCTTCGAGCAGGATTTGGCAATCGCCGCGCTGGGGTCTGACGAGTACCACGCCGTCTTCATTCGCGCGCCGGTCATCATTCGTGTTGGCGATGACGTGCAGGTGCTGGCATCGCTGCCGGATGGTCGACCCGTCGCAGTGCAGGAAAACAACCTGATGGCAACCTCGTTTCACCCCGAACTCACCGCCGACGCCCGTATCCACCGCTACTTCGTGGCCTTGGCCGGCGGCCCGCCCCTTGACTCCGATGCTCCATTGATTGACGCGCCGCGGGTACGCTGACGCCGTGCATTGCTCCGGACGAAAAGATAAACCGGTGATTGCCAAGACCGACGAACCGCGTAACCTGCCGGCAGGAGGCCATAGTTGGTGACTGTCGAACGACCGATCCACGATGAACTGGAACAGCTCCTGCGGGTGCTCCCACCGCACATACAGGCTAGCCTTCAACAGCAGGAAAACCTGAACGAGTTGCTGGAGGTTGTACTGGACTTGGGGCGCACACCGGAAGCCAGGTTCTCCGCTGGGGACGTCCTGCTGGCAGAAGAACCAGTCAGCCGGGAGGACCTGGATCATATCGTGACCAGCATCGGCGAGTTCGGCGGCGATAACCGCGCCGGCATGGAGCGCACGCTGCACCGCATCTCCGCCATTCGCAACCGCCACGGCAGTGTCGTGGGCATAACGTGTCGGGTGGGCCGGGCGGTGTTCGGCACCATCAGGATCATCGAAGACCTGGCATACAGCGGGAAGAATATCCTGCTGTTGGGCCGGCCCGGCGTCGGCAAAACCACGATGTTGCGTGAGGTGGCCCGCGTTCTGGCCGACGAAGCCCGCAAACGCGTCATCATAGTGGACACGTCTAATGAAATAGCCGGCGACGGAGACATCCCGCACCCCGCCATCGGGCACGCCAGGCGGATGCAGGTTCCGACGCCCACCGAGCAGCACGACGTGATGATCGAAGCGGTGGAAAATCATATGCCCCAAGTCATCATCATCGATGAAATGGGTACCACGCAGGAAGCCGCCGCCGCCCGCACCATTGCCGAGCGTGGCGTCCAACTCGTCGCCACCGCCCACGGCAACACGCTGGACAACCTCATCATGAATCCTACGCTGTCTGACCTGGTTGGCGGTGTGCAGACCGTAACGCTGGGCGACCAGGAGGCACGTTTCCGGGGCACGCAGAAAACCGTCCTGGAGCGGAAGGCGCCGCCCACTTTCGACGTGGTGGTAGAAATCCAGGACTGGGACGAAGTAGCCGTCCATGAAGACGTTGCCCAGGTGGTTGACCAATGGTTGCGCGGTTACCAGGTGGCTCCCGAAGTGCGCCACATGGACGAAGATGGGTCCATGACCCGAACCTCGCCACCGCGCCAAAGCGAGTCGGGACCGGCCCCCTGGTCGGCCAATGAGATTCAGGGTCGTCGCAGTAACACCAAAAATCGCCGCAACGGCAGCCAGCTTCCCTACGACCAATACCCGCCGGAAGAATTCCGGGATGAACCCGATGCCAGCGGCGGAGCCGGCCCGCGCCTGGATTCCCGCATCTTCCTGTTCGGCGTCAGTCGCGACAAGCTAGAAGCAACGTTGGCCGAACGTGGCATAACAGCTGAAATCGTCAGCGAACTGCGCCGCGCCAACGTGCTCTTGACCACCAAGAACCACTACCGCCGGGGCAGCCAACTGGTGCGGGTTGCCGAAAACAACAGCATCCCAGTCTACGTCTTGCGCAAGAATACCGCTCCCCAGATCGGCGAGTTCCTGACCTCGCTGGCGCGCGACCAGGGTATTGAGTTGGCACCCTCCAGCCGCCGTTTTGGCGATGACCGGGATGAACCGAACGAGTCAACCGTGGCGGAGGCCAAGGCGGAAGCCGAAGAAGCCGCACACCGCGTGCTGTCCGGCGAATTCTCGGTGCAACTGGAACCTCAGCGGCCTTACATACGGCGTTTGCAGCATCTGTTGGCCGAGCAGTTCAAGCTGGCGTCCACCAGCCGCGGTCGCGACCCACAGCGCGGCGTCCTGATTTACCGGCCGTAACGGGCTGGTGCCCCCGGCGTGTGATGGCGTATCCCCATGCCCGGCCTGTTCATAGCATTTGAGGGCGGAGACGGCGCTGGCAAAACAACCCAGGCCAGTTTGCTGGAAACGGCGCTGTGCGAGCGGGGATATTCCACGGTGTCGGTACGTGAACCGGGTTCCACGACGCTGGGTAATTACCTGCGCCAATATTTGGTCAACGAACAACCGGTGTCGCCGCTGGCCGAGCTGTTCCTGTTCGAAGCGTCGCGCGCCGAGTTGATGCGTGAGGTGATTGAACCGCAACTCGCAGCGGGCGCGGTGGTGATAGCCGATCGGTTTGCCGGTTCAACAATCGCGTACCAGGGTTACGGCCGGGGCCTCAACCTGGAGCGCATCGAGTGGCTGAACGACGTGGCCACCGGCGGAAGGTTTCCGGACTTGACTGTTCTGCTGGACATCGACCCGTCGATCGGGCTGGGCAGAGTACACGGCCGGCAACTTGAACTCAGACTCCAGTACGGGGAGGAATCCGACCGATTTGAAGACCAACAACCCGACTTTCACCACAACGTCCGTTACGGATTCCAACAGCAGGCTGCTGCTAACCAGGGCTGTTGGGTGTTGGTGGAGGCCAACCAGTCGATAGAGACGGTGGCTTCGCAGGTCTGGTGTGCAGTTGAGACGAAGCTGGGGTTGCATTCGTCCCAGGAATAAACCCGCTCAATCAGAATCGGCTCCAACTTGAGCTCAAGACAAATTCACCGCAATAAAGCAAAACCGCCGCTCCGGGTTGGAGCGGCGGTTATTTTCTGCGGTGTGCCGAGCTCGATTAGTTGTCGGCGGCGATTGCCATATCGGCTCTCGCAATCCTGGCAGTGATGAGTTCCTTCATCTTGCGGACGCGACCTAGGTCGGGGTAAATGCCCTCGGCCTTCTTGTCGAAGATTTTCTCGCCGTCCATGAAAACTTCCATGATGCTCTGGCCGCGCGGTGAGATCGTGATCGCCACGTCACCACCGTATGCCCGGAAAAACTCGTTCGCCATCCACGTGGCGGTAGCATGGTGCTGTCAAGGGACGCAGTAGGTTATTTCAACCTGAACTTTTCCTTCCATCAGATAAACCTCCGAAATGGTGCTTAAGGAATTCTACGCGGTTTACTGTATCACAGATTCAACCGGCTTCCAACCACCGACCCCGACCCGCAGGGCCTTTCGATTATCAGAACGTAGCGGTCAAAGGTGAACTGGCGACAGCGTTGGTCGATCCGGCTACGAGATTGCCACGCTGCGCTCACAATGACATTAGGGGACAATCGAAAGACCCTGCCTCGACCCGGCACACCGCCGGCCATCCCGATGCAGCGATTCCGAACGTCGCCGCCCAATTTGCGGCGCGGAACGACGGAATCCGCCGACACACCGGGTCAGACCGGCTAACTACGGCCATAACGTGCGCATGGCTGTTATTGACCTTGTATTGCCCCATTGTTACAATGCCGCTAACAAGATAGTAAAGCCGTCGGCGACTGCGGACGGCTACAAAGACCGCCGTAATTTTTGCGGGAGGGACGTCATGGTTACCACTTTCAACGAAGACCTGTTTTCTCCTGAGGTCGTGCAAGATCCTTACACGTATTTCGGGCGTATGCGGGAACAGGACCCGGTGCACTGGAATGATGCCTATAAGCTGTGGGTAATTTCCAAGTACAAGGACTTGGTCTGGGTTACGCGCCATCCGGAATTTTTCTCCTCTGAAGTATTCCACCGCGACCCGCTGCCCCCGTACCCTGACATCGACGAGTCCGACATGGGGCTTTATGAGTACGTGAAGGAGTTCTTCTCTCAGTGGTTCATCCAGCACGACCGCAAGGAAATAACAGTCCACGATGGGCCCGACCATACTGACATGCGCAAGGTCATCCACGGCTACTTCACGCCGAAGGCCATGGAACTCTGGCGCCCACTGGTGCAGTCGGCCATCAACCAGCTGCTTGACGAAGCGGAAGACCGTGGCAGCATGGACGTGATGCGCGACTACGCCACTCCGTTACCTCTGCTGGTCATTGCCGCGATGATGGGCATCGACACCTCCGACCGGCAGTTCATCCGCTCCCTGGCTGAGAAACTGCTGTTCATCGGTCGCGGTAACAACGACCGGATGCAGCCCTTGACTGAAGGCATCGTGGGATTGCAGGAATATCTGGCCCCCATGGTCGCTGAGCGCGTCAAGAACCCGAACGGCGACTTGCTCGACCGCATGACTGACGCCTACCGCGTCGGCGTGATGTCCCAGGAGCAGGTGGTAGCCAACTCCATCCTCCTGCTGCTCGCCGGACACGAAACCACCATCAACCTGATCTGCAACGGCACCCGGGCTTTCATGACCCACCCCGACCAGTGGGAACTGTTCAAGTCCGACCCGGACGCCCGCATGATCCGCGCTACCGAGGAATGCCTTCGGTACGACCCGCCCGTCAAGTCCATCACCCGTATCGCCGGTGATAACCTGGAGCTGGGCGGCAAGCAGATCAACAAGGACGAACGGATGCGGTGGTTCGTCACCAGCGCCAACCGGGATCCCGAAGTGTTCGACCGGCCGGACGATTTCGACATCGAACGGTATCCGAACCCTCACGTGGCCTTTGGTAGCGGAATCCACCACTGTCTGGGCGCCACGCTAGCGCGACTCGAAGGACAGGAAGCCTTCAGGTCCCTTGCCCAGCGGTTCCCGAACATCAATATGGACTGTAACCCGGCCGACCTGACTTACACGTCCAGCATCACGTTCCGCACGCTGGAGCGGCTGCCACTGAATCTGTCGTAAGCAGCAACGCAAAATCACGCACGTGTATTGAGTGCCCGGAGTGCCGCTAGATAGCGTCGCACTCCGGGCATTCGCGTGTCGTAAATCGTTGCACCACGCTCCTCGGTCGGTTATAATCGGCCAAACTAGGCTGGTCAGCACTCGCTGAACCGCAATCCCGCTCAATTGCAACCGGAGGTCGCAAAATGGTCAGCACCATCAACGACAATCCCTTCTCCCTGGAGGCGATGTACCAACCCTACGATTTCTACAACCGGCTCAGGGAATGGGAACCGGTGCACTACAACGAGCAATACGAAGTGTGGATGGTTACCTCCTGGGAGCATCTGGTCTGGGTAACCCGCCATCCCGAGGTATTTTCCTCCAGCGTATTCGCCCGGGACGTGCGCCCACCGAACCCGCCAATCGACGAAGACGACATGGAAATCTACAATTACATCAAAAATTGGCAGGTTTCCCGTTTCATTCAGCAAGACCAGAAACGCTACAACCCGGAAGTCTCCGGCCCTGACCACATTGATATGCGCCGGGTGATGCATGGCTACTTCACGCCCAAGTCCATGGAGATGTGGCGACCGCTGGTGCAGTCCGCCATCGATGAGTTGCTGGACGCCGTTGAAGAAAAGGGCCGCATGGACGTGATGGCCGACCTGGCGACTCCGCTGCCGCTCTTGGTGATTGCGCGGATGCTGGGTATCCCGGACAGCGACCGACCCATTATGCGGGTTTTGGCCAAAGACCTGCGCCACCTCAACCGCACCGGACCCGACCGTATGGGTCCCCTGTCGCAGTCGGTGCAGAACCTGCAAGACTATCTTGGGCCGCTGGTTGCCGAGCGGGTGGCCGCGCCCAAAGACGACCTGATTTCCGTGGTTGCAGAAGGCGAGCGTCAGGGTATATTCACCCGCGACCAGGTGGTAAACAACGTGATGCTCCTGCTGTCGGCGGGCCACGAGACCACCATCAACCTGATTTGCAACGGCACCCTGGCTTTCACTCAGCACCCCGACCAGTGGGCCGCCCTCAGGACGGACCCGGATGGCAAGACCGTGCGCGCCACCGAAGAAGCCCTGCGCTACGACTCACCGGTCAAGTCCATCCAGCGCATCGCCCTGGACGACATCGAAATAGCCGGACAGACCGTGCGCAAGAACGACCGGGTGCGCTGGTTCATTTCGGGCGCCAACCGCGATCCCAAAGTGTTCGACCGGGCCGACGATTTTGACATCGACCGGTATCCCAACCAGCACGTAGCCTTCGGCAGCGGGGTTCACCACTGCCTGGGGGCCACGTTGGCGCGACTCGAAGGTCAGGAGATATTCCGAAACCTCGCCAATAGGTTTGAAAGCCTGGAGCTTGAGATTCCGGTGGAGCAGGTGGAATACGACCAGTTGATCGGGCTACGCGCCGTGGAGAGTTTGCCGGTTACGGTAACCAGCGCCCGGTAAACAGTTCGACGGGCACGCCAAAATCCGCGGGTTTTTCGGCTGCACAGCACCAACGGTGTCGTGCAGCCGATTGAGGTTCAGGCGGGTTATCCGATGCCGCGAGTTTTGCGCGCGATACGAAACCGGTACGCCGAAAACCCAAGCGCGACACGGCACAATCGGTTATAATCGGGAAATCCGAACCGGCTCACTGCCGGCAATGCAACATAGGCGGCTCGTTCTCAACCGGAGGATGCACATATGGTAAGCACCATCAACGACAACCCGTTCTCACTAGAAGCGATTTATCAACCATACGACTTTTTCGCCCGACTGCGTGACACCGAGCCGGTGCACTATAACGAAGAATTCGAAGTGTGGATGGTATCGTCTTGGGAGCACCTGGTTTGGGTTACCCGCCACCCGGAAGCCTTTTCCTCCAGCGTGTTTGCCCGCGACACCCGCGCGCCCAACCCGCCCATTGATGAAGACGACATGGAAATCTACAACTTCATCAAGAAGTGGCAGGTTTCCCGCTTTATCCAGTACGACCAGAAGCGTTACAACCCCGGGGTCTCCGGCCCCGACCATGTGGATATGCGACGGGTGATGCACGGCTACTTCACGCCCAAGTCGATGGAGATGTGGCGGCCGCTGGTGCAATCGGCAATTGACGAACTGCTGGATGCCGTTGAAGAGAAAGGTCAAATGGACGTTATGTCCGACCTGGCCACCCCGTTGCCGTTGCTCGTTATTGCCCGAATGCTGGGAATACCCGACAGCGACAGACCGATCCTGCGCTCTTTGGCCAAAGACCTGCGGTTCCTCAATCGCGTCGGCCCCGACCGCATGGGCCCCCTGTCCCAGGCTGTGCAGAACCTGCAGGAATACCTGGGCCCGCTGGTTGCCGACCGGGTCAAGAGCCCCAAGGATGACCTCATTTCAGTGGTGGCCGAAGGCGAACGTCAGGGTATCTTCGACCGCGACATGACCGTTAACAACGTGATGTTGCTGCTGTCCGCCGGCCACGAAACCACCATCAACCTCATCTGCAACGGGACACTGGCTTTCACCCAGCACCCCGACCAGTGGGCAATCCTCAAGTCGGATCCGGAAGGTAAAACCGTGCGGGCAACCGAAGAAGCCCTGCGGTACGACTCACCGGTTAAGTCGATCCAGCGCATTGCGATGGACGACATCGAAATCGGTGGGCAAACCATCCGCAAGGACGACCGCGTGCGCTGGTTCATCTCCGGCGCCAACCGCGATCCCAAGGTGTTCGACCGGGCAGACGACTTCGACGTGGAACGTTACCCGAACCAGCACGTCGCATTCGGCAGCGGGATCCATCACTGCCTGGGCGCCACGCTGGCTCGCCTGGAAGGTCAGGAAATTTTCCGCAACCTCGCTAACCGGTTCGACACGATGGAACTCGAAATCCCGGTCAAAGACGTGGAATACGACCACGTGCTGACCTTCCGCGCGGTGGAAAGCCTTCCCGTAAAGGTAACCAGCGCACGCTAATAACTCGTCGCGACAGTACCGCGGCTTTCGTGACTTTGCGGCCGCACGGTGTTAACAGCATCGTGCGGCCGGTTGCGTTAGCCGACCGCGAATCGGCTTCCCCCACGCATTGGCGCCTCTCGTCCTTGCCGACACCGGCCGCCAAGCAGAGCCCGGCGGTCACGCGTACCAACTTTGTCATTGCGAGCGTAGCGTGGCAATCTCGTTGCCGTAACAATGGCGGTTCGCCGACGTGTGTTCAACCTGATCGAGATTGCCACGTCCCTCGACGGACTCGGGATGAGCGGGTGCTCCTCGCAATGACAAAGTGGGTACGCATGTGGAGCCCGGTGAGTTTGAAATGTGGTATCCCGTGTGATAAGTTACCGGCAAGCCAACGAGTATGCCCACGCTGAGCTTCGCCGCTCGCATGACACCCCGACAGGTGGTATCGAAATTATGGCTGCCACGTTCCACGACGACCTCTTTGCACCTGACGCCATCCGCGACCCTTACACCTATTTTGGTGCGCTGCGGGACAAACAACCAGTCCCGTTGGAACGAACAGTACCAAATGTGGGTGGTGACTAACTACGAACGGCTGGTGTGGACGGCCCGACATCCGGAATATTTTTCCTCCGAAGTTGCGCTGCGCGATACCGCCCCGCCGTCTCCGTCCATTCCGGAAGAGGACATGGAACTGTTTGGCGCCGTGAGGCAGTGGCTCGCCGCCCGTTTCACTCAGAACGACGGCGCCGCGCACAAGGAAAAGCGCAAGGTGGTGCACGGTTTCTTCACGCCCAAGGCGATGGAAACCTGGCGTCCGCTGGTGCGTCAAACCGTCAGTGATTTGCTAGACGATTTACAGGGCGCGGGCCGCATGGACGTTATGCACGATTTCGCCACGCCGCTCACCTACAGCATTATCGCCGGCCTGATGGACATACCGGAGAGCGACCGCGCGTTCGTGAAGGAACTTTCGAGTCAGATGTGCGGCTTCGACGGCAATGACCCCAATCGCATCCGCAATTTCGCCGCCGGCGTGCAGGCCGTAACCGACTACCTGGCTCCCATCGTGGCCGAGCGGGTGCGGGACCCCGCCGACGACCTGCTGTCGGTCATTTGCAAGGGCGAAATAATGGGCGCCTACACTCGCGATGAGGTGTTGGCCAATGCCCTGCTGCTGCTGGTCGCCGGCCACGAAACTACCAACGACCTGATCTCCAACGGCGTGCTGGCCTTCGCGCAGAATGCCGACCAGTTTGACCTGCTACGTTCCGATCCGGACACCCACGTGGTCAACGCGGTGGAAGAGGTTTTACGTTACGATTCGCCCCTCAAATCCATCCAGCGCATTGCCACCCAGGACGTGGACATGGGAGACGGGCAGCGCGTGTGGAAAAACGACCGCGTTCGCTGGGTCATCTCATCCGCCAACCGGGATCCGGAGGTCTTCGAGAAACCCGACGATCTGGATATTGGTCGCAACCCCAATCCCCACGTATCCTTCGGCAGCGGTGTCCATCACTGCCTGGGCGCCACGCTGGCCCGCCTGGAAGGACAGGAAGCCTTCGCCGAGCTGGCGCGTCGCTACGAGGGTTTCCAACTGGAATGCGATGCCGCCGAACTGGAATACTTGCCCAGCGTGGGCCAGCGCACTTTGCTAAACCTACCGGTTGACACCCGCTAGCAATGTCAGCCGGAATTGTTCTCCAGGCCAACCCGCTATCATCCAGCAGTAACAAGAGGAGGTTACACTGATGCCCCGACAACTCAAGATTACCGTAGATTACAACGTGTGCGTGGGCAACGCCATGTGCGAGACCTTTGCGCCCAACACCTTCGGCCTCAACGACGACCGCCAATCCTACGTCAAAGACGCGGCTGGCGACCCGGAAGACACCATCCTCCTAGCCGCCGAGAACTGTCCCGTAACGGCGATCACCGTGGAAGACGCGGAAACCGGCGAGATACTGTTCCCGTAACCTTCAGCGCAGCCAAGCGACACGCGCCCTCCCACACAGATGGGAGGGCGCGTTTTTCTCTGTACTCCGGCCAGCATCGCCAACGCAGTCGGGGGCTACAGCTTTGCGATTACTTCCTCGCCGAATCTACGGATGATGTTAGCCGGCTCGTGGCTGATGGCCGTTATCTGCAACACGTCCACGCCCGACTCGCCGACCTGCCTAACCTTGACGCGGCAATCTTCGGGCGAGCCTACCACGGCGAAGCGGTCGGCCAGATAGTCGGTAACGCCCAATTCATCAGACAGTGCAGCGTTGCGCGTGTCGCCTACCTGCTCGTGCTCGGCGGGCACGTACTCACCCTGTATGGCCATCATCGCCTCGTGCAACCCCTCGGGCACGTGCTTGCCCTCCAGAGTAAAACGAAAGGCATGGTGGGCGCTGGCGGCCAGGGCCATTTTGATTTCGTCGACGGCGGCGGCCCGGTCGTCGGAGATGTTGCACTTGGCGAACGCCCAGACCTCGGTGGTTCCTTGGGATTTGGCACCTTCCGCCTCGCCCGAGCGAATGTGGGCAATGGTGTCGCTCAGTATGTCGGCAGTCAGCCCAGTATGCACCATCACCCGGTCGGCGATTGCACCCGCCATCCGCAGCGTGCGCGGGCCTTCGGCAGACATCATGATGGGAACCGACGACTCGCTCCAACGGACGTGGGCTTCCCGACCCAGGTACTCTGCAGTGCCGCCGTTCAGGAAGGTTCGCACCGCATCCACATATTCCCGCAGCGCGCGCATCCGCGCCGGGCGCAGGCCTAGGTTCAGCACCGCGCTATCTCCGGTGCCGATGCCAAGAAAAGCCCGACCACCGGACAGTTCCTGCAGCGAAGCGATGGCCGATGCGGTTACAGCCGGGTGCCGGGTCAGCGGATTGGTTACCGATGGCCCCAAATGGACTCGGGTGGTCTCGGTAGCAGCCACCGCCAGGGAAACAAACAGCTCGCGAAATAACGATTGCGAATCGGCAATACCCACGTAGTCAAACCCCACGTCCTCAGCCAGCCGGACGTGTTCGCGCAAGGTCCGGAAGGATGTGGGCAGCAGCGTAACACCGTACTTCATGGTTCAAGCCGCCAGGTGGTCGCTGTATCTGGAATCCGACGGGGAGGACTCAATCGGCGTTGGGCCTGGAAATCGTCCTCATCGCTCACCACCAGGTCGGCGAAACGTCGCCCCTGGGGTACCACCCTTTGATCGAAAGAGCTGATGGACGAGTTGTACGCCTTAACCGCCGAATCCAATTCTTTGCCCACGTTCTGGTAGTGCCGCATGAAAATCTGCATACGTTTATGCATTTCTTCGCCCACGTCCTTGATTCTGGCGGCGTCCTGCGCCAGCCGGAACTGCTGCCATCCGTTGGCCACGGCCCACAACATCGCAATAAGGGAAGCGGGGGTGGCGATGGCAATCCGCTTGCTCATAGCGTATTCGATGAGATTGGGATTAGCGTGCAGAGCCGAGGACAGGAACTGGTCGCCGGGAACGAACATCACCACGAAATCCAGCGAACCCGCGACACTCACGCCGTAACCCTTCCTGGAAAGGTCGTCCACCTGGGCGCGCAACGCACGGGGGTGTCGCATCCAGATGGCGTCCGCAGACTCACCCTCGGCGGCGTTCTGGGCTGCCAGGTAAGCATTGAGTGGGGCTTTGGCGTCTACCACCACCGCCCGCCGTTCCGGAAGATTGACAATCATGTCCGGCCGACCGTCGGGCACGCCGGTTTGCTCTGCAAAATCGCAGTGCTGGGACATGCCGGCCAGCTCGGCGACCTTTCGGAGCTGCACCTCCCCCCAGTGGCCGGCTTTCCGGTTGTCGGTCAAAGCAGTCGACAACTTGCTGGTTTCCGCAGTGACGGACTTCACCTGCGTGCTCAGCGATTCTATCTGGGGATTCAGTTTGCCGTAGTTTTCCGCCAGCGGTTTCACCAGTTCCTGAAATTGCTGGTGCCGCAGGGCAAACTCGCTTTTGGCGGATTCCAGGGTTTTAGCGAGGTTTCATTGGCCAGTTGGACGAATTGCTCGTTGTTGCTTTGCAGAACCCGGCTGGCGGTCGCCTGAAACTCGGTGCTCAGCTGGTCTTTGGCGGCATCGAGGATTTGCTGCGCATTCGCCACCTGCTCCAGTTGCCCTTGCAAGCCGGCTACCTCGGCGCGGTGGTCGGCTGCCAACGTCGCCGCTTCCCCGCCAGCCCGGGCACCGCGTGCAAACCAGCAGGCCGCCCCGCCCACCATCAGCCCGACGACTAACCCTACGATGAGCAGTACTAAATCCATTCACCTACATCCGATGCCGTGTCCAGGTTGGTGTCGGCTAGCTGTAACGCAGGCGGGGCCCGACGGTGGCCTGGTATCCCTCGAAGTTGCGCTTCGTCTCGGGGATGCTATCGCCGCCGAATTTCTCCATAAAGGCATCGGCCAGCACCAGCGCCATCATCGCTTCGCCAATTACTCCGGCCGGCGGGGCCTGACACACGTCGCTGCGTTCGAAATGGGCCTGCACTGGCTCGCCGGTATCGAGGTCTACCGAGGGCAGAGGGTTGTGGAGGGTAGCAATCGGCTTGATGACGAAGCGGGCAACGAGGGGCGTCCCACTGGTCATACCGCCTTCCGTCCCGCCGGCCCGGTTGGTCTTGCGTTGCCAGGGTCGGTCGGGGTCGGTCACCGGTTCGATGACGTCCTGGAACTCGGAACCCCACCGATCCAAAAGATCCCAACCTTCACCGATGCTTACGGCTTTCACCGCGTTAATGCTCATCAACGCCTGCGAGATTTTGGCGTCTATCTTGCGGTCCCAATGCACATGGGAGCCCAATCCGATGGGCACACCCTCCGCAATCACCTCGACCACACCACCGACGGTATCGCCGGCTTCGCGTGCGGCGTCCACCTCGGCCATCATCTGGTCGGCAACATCGGAGTCGGCACAATGCACCGGCGATTCTTCCACCGCATCCCAGTCGATGGCTCCTTGGTCCGGCGGGTTGGCCTTCACCCTGCCAATTGACAGGACGTGGCTGTGCAGCTTGATGCCAAACTCTTCCAGCAGCTTCATTGCGACGGCGCCGGCGGCCACCCGCGCGGCGGTTTCCCGAGCGGACGCCCGTTCCAGGGAGTTACGCACGTCGTGGAAACCGTATTTCATTGCGCCCGGCAAGTCAGCGTGCCCGGGCCGAATGCGGGTAACGCGCTGGTTGCGCCCTTCCTGCGACGGGTTTTCGACGTACTCCACCGCCATGGCTTCCTGCCAGTTAACCCAATCCCGGTTTTCGATCAGCATCCCGATTGGACTACCCAGTGTGTAGCCGTGGCGCACGCCGGTCTGGATGTGGGCGTGGTCGCGTTCAATCTGCTGACGTCCGCCCCGCCCGTAGCCTCTCTGACGTCGCCCCAGGTGGTGGGCGATATATTCTTCGTCCAGATACAGGTAAGCCGGCACGCCCTCCACAATCACCATCAAACCCTGGCCGTGGGATTCACCTGCCGTAAACCAACGTATCATTGCCGAAGTGCCTCCTGTGGAAACATTGGACGCCTCGCGCTGATCCGGGCGAAACGACGCGAAGGGGTCGGGTCAGGTCGCGTCGGCTTCCCGGGCCGGCATTGCCGCCGTCGCCGCTGCCATCATCACGTCTACCGGAGCCGGCTGGCCCAGCCAGATTTCGAAGGATGCCGCCCCCTGGTACACCAGCATTGAAATTCCGCCGAGCGTTGCGGCCCCCGCTGCTTCCGCCGCCCGCAATAAAGGCGTCAGCATCGGATTATACACCAGGTCATATACCAGGGCCGTGGCCGGCACCTGATGCGCGGCCAACGGGGAGCCGCTTTCGTCGGGCCCGTGCCGCATCCCCACCGACGTGCAATTGACGATCAGGTCCGCTTGCGCCGCCGCCGCGGCTACATCTGCAGAGCCCAACGCCAACGGTGTTGCGGGTACTCCCCGATTTGCAGCCAGCCGCGCCAGGGTTTCGGCACGCGCCACAGTGCGATTGGCGATATGAAGCTCGCCCACGCCGGCGCGCAAAAGCGCCTGCACAACACCACGGGCCGAGCCACCGGCGCCCAGGATCAAAACCCGCCTGCCCTCCGGCTCCAAACCGCCCGACTCGCGCAGCGCCCGCAGAAACCCGTAGCCATCGGTGTTGTGGCCGGTCAGTCGCCCCGAGTGGTTCACGATGGTATTGACTGCCCCAGCCTCGGTAGCCCAGTCGTCAACCTCGTCCAGGAACGGGATGACCGTTTCCTTGTGCGGAACGGTTACGTTGATCCCAATGGCGTTTTCCGACCGCAAACCCTCAACGAATTCCCCAACCTCGTCCGGTTTCACCGCATACGGGCCGTACTCTGCCTCGATACCCAGATGGTCCAGCGCCGCCTGCTGAAACAGCGGCGAAATGGAGTGACCGATCGGATAACCGATGATGCCGAGGGTTGTGGTAATTGACATACGGGCGCGCTAACAGTGCGGTATCGGCAGGAGTCGCGTCATTGTAGCAGAGGCCGGATGAAGTTTATCTGCTTATCGAAGAGTCGCAGCCCGGCAATGCCCAAGCCTTAGATCCAAAAACAAACGTCCCGCCCGTGCGAGAAGGTGGGACGCCGGGTTCTCATACGTCGACAGCGTTACCGATTGATCGTCAAATGTTTTATCTGAAGGCCGCCAGGCCCGGAGCGGGTAATGGTATCGGTGTCCACTCCCGAATCAGTGCCTCCGACCCATAGATCGTACACTGCGCCGTACTGGGTTGTTTCCAATTGGTACTTGCCATTCTCATCAGTTTGATCCTGAATGCGCGGCAAATCTGTGTTTTGAGGACGGCCGTAGATGATCTCGCCGTCCCTCGCCGTTTGTCCGTTGATGGTCACGGTGCCGATAATGAACGCTGGCGGTCCAGCGATCGGGTTGGTCACCGATGCCTGTGTGGGAGGTACAACCGCCGCGGGGGCTGCGGTCGCCGGCACCGCCGGCACGGGCGTGTCGGCAGGAGCGACGTTCGCCTGGGCGGCGGCCAACATAGCAGCGACGGTTGCCGCGATATCAGGGGTGGGCGGCACGGTGGGGGTTGGGGTGGCAGTAGGTTCCGGAGTGGGCGTTTCCGTGGGTATCGCTGCCGCAACAGCCGCGGCAATGGTTTGCGCCAGGTCAGCTGTTGGTTCCGCTGGCACCGGTTCGTCTCCGCCAAAGAGACCACAACCGGCAGCGGTGGCCAGTATGAGCATGGCCGCTACGCTCATGGTCAAATATCGTCCAAACTTACGCATCATCCAAGAACTCCTGCCCATCGTTTAGTATTGTTATTAAAGTTTGACAGTTTAATTACCAAAAAGCACCCATCAAAAGAAACCGGATTCGGCAATCTTCAGCGCTACGCGGTCAGTTGGGAAATGATTCCCTCGAGCCGCTGCCGCTGTTCGGTCAATCCGCCCAGGCGATTGCGCTCGTTCTCCACCACTTCCGAGCGGGCTTTGGCAACGAAATTGGGGTTGTCCAACAGCCGCTGTACCCGTTCCTCATTGACTCGTATGTCGTCCAGTTCCTTGCCGAGACGCTCGGTTTCCGCCGCCAGGTCGACGATGCCCGTCAGCGGGAGGCGCACCACCAGTGGGTTGACCACCAGGCTGACTCCAGCGCCTTGCCCATCCTCGCCGGAAGCGACCACCCGGAGGGGTTCCAGCCGAGCCAGCGCGCCCATGATTGCCTTTTCCTCTTCTACGACCTGATCCATGCCATTGGATTCAATCACCGCTTCCAATCTTTGCCCGGCCGGGATTCGCAGCTGCGCCCTCACGTTGCGCACCGCCCGGATGGTTTGCATCACCACGTCCACTTCCGCCTCGGCATCCTGGGCGGCACGGGAACCGTCTGCGCTGGGATAGGATGCCACCATTATTGAGGCCGGCAAACCCGCTGCGGGGGCCGGCAAGCCTGCCGTCAGGTTCTGCCAGATTTCCTCGGTAACGAACGGCATGAAGGGATGCAACAGCCGCAGCGACCGCTCCAGCACGTGGGCCAGCGTCGCTGCGGTTTCGCCGGGTTCAGCGCCCCGCAACCGCACCTTGGCCATTTCGATATACCAGTCGCAAAAATCATTCCAGACGAAGTCGTACAGATTTTGTTGCGCCTCGCCAAGTTCAAACTCCGCCAACCCGTTTCCGACCGCAGCGGTAACGGCATCCAGCCGACTGACGATCCAGCGATCTTCCCGGTGCACGGGGTTGGGCAGTTCGTACCAACCTTCGAGATCATCCCGTCCCCGAACGGCGCTAATCACGAAGCGGGCGGCGTTCCAAATTTTGTTGGCGAAGTTGCGGGCCGATTCCAGCTTGTCGTCGCTGAGCCGCAGATTGTTTCCGGGCGCGGTGCCCGTGGTCAGGGCGAACCGCAGCGCGTCGGTGCCGTACTGTTCCACCAGTTCCAGCGGGTCGAGGGTGTTGCCGCGGGTTTTGCTCATCTTGTGACCCTCGGCGTCCAGCACCATGCCGTGCAGGTACACCGACCGGAACGGCACCTGGCCGGTGTTTTCGATGCCCAGCATAATCATGCGGGCGACCCAGAAAAACAGGATATCGTACCCAGTCTCCAGAACGGTATTGGGGTAGAAGTTATCCAGGTCGGTCGACGCTTCATCCGGCCAGCCCAGGGTGGAATGGGGCCACAAACCGGAGCTGAACCAGGTGTCGAGCACGTCGCTGTCCTGCTCAATTCGGTCGCTGCCGCAGTGAACGCACGCGTCCGGATCGTCGATGTGGGCCGCATGTTCGCCGCAGGCCGCGCAATACCACACCGGAATCCGATGACCCCACCACAACTGCCGACTGATGCACCAGTCGCGGATATTTTCCAGCCAGTTCAGATAGACCCGTGAGAACCGCTCAGGAACTATCTGGATGTCCCCGTTGGCCACTGCGGCGTGGGCGCGGCCGGCGATGCTGTCCGGTTCGGTATGCTGGCCCACGTTCAGGAACCATTGCAGGCTGATCAGCGGCTCCACTACCTCGTTGCACCGCTGGCAATGCCCCACCGAGTTGTGATAGTCCTCGACACGCTCCAGGACTCCCAGCGCATCCAGTTCGACGGCGATGGCGGCTCTGGCGGCGAAGCGCTCCATACCGGCGTACTTGGCGCCGGCGTCAGCCGTTAGGCAGCCGTCAAATCCGATGACATTCACGATGGGCAGGTTGTGGCGCTCGCCGATTTCGAAGTCAACGGCATCGTGGCCCGGTGTAACCTTCAGGGCGCCAGTACCAAATTCCATCTCGATTGCCGGGTCAGCAACGACGGGAATCTCGCGCCCTACGATGGGCAACACCACCGCCCGCCCAATCACGTCCGCGTATCGTGGGTCGTCGGGATGGACCGCAACTCCGGTGTCGCCCAGCATCGATTCCGGGCGGGTCGTAGCGACGGTAATAAATTGGTCAGGGTTTCCCGACAATGGGTAGCGGATGTGGTACAGCTTGCCGTCCTGCTCCTCGTATTCAACCTCCAGGTCAGACAATGCCGTCGAACAGCGCGGGCACCAGTTGATGATGCGCTCATGGCGATAGATGAGCCCTTTGTTGAAAAGATTGACGAAGGTGGTGCGTACCGCGCGCGCCGGGCCGGGATCCAGGGTGAATCGCAGGCGGGACCAGTCGCAGGAAGCGCCGAGCCGCCGGTGCTGCTCATCGATGGTGTTTCCGTACCGGGCCACCCACTCCCAAACTCGCTCCTCAAACTTCTCGCGGCCCAATTCGTGGCGATTGGTGCCCTCGGTGGCCAACGCGCGTTCCACCACCCACTGTGTGGCAATACCGGCGTGATCCTTACCAGGCAGCCAAAGCGTAGGCTCCCCGCGCATCCGGTGCCAGCGGGTCAGGGAATCTTGCAAACTGGCGGTTAGGGCATGGCCCAGATGCAACTCGCCGGTGACGTTGGGCGGCGGCATTATTACGCAGAACGGCTGCCTGGAATCGTCCATCCGGGGGGCGAAATAGCCCGAATCCCACCAATTTTTGTAGATGCGCTGTTCGACAGCCGTGGCGTCATACGCTCGGGGCATTTCAGCAGCAGTGTCCGTCATCATGCCATCCAGTATCGTCGGGGAAACAGCCAACAGGTTTATGTAATCCCAAAAATGTTAGCATCGCACCCCCGGAATTGTCCACATTGAGGGGAGCGGCGATTGCTGATTTGGTCAACCTAATGAGCTGGCAGCGACCGATGTCGTACCTCGGGAGACCTTTGCATAACGTGTGGCTGCGAGGAGCGCCGCGACAGGGCAATCCCGGCCTGAGCTTCACGCGTACCCACTTTATTCTGTCATTGCCAGGAGCATAGCAAGGTGGCAATCTCGATTAGGTCGAACACGCGTCGACGAACCGCCGTTGCTTCGACGACGGGATTGCCACGCTACGCTCGCAATGACAAAGTGGGTACGTATGAACGGCCTGAACACGACGTTCGTCGCCAAGGCACCCTCATGGGTTCCCTAAGTTCACAAACGAAGTGCAACACCTTGTTAGGGTGTTGCCATGCCAATGTGACGAGAACTATACAACTAAACTCACAGCTTGCAGAACGGTGCCAAATTAACCCACGCTACACGCCGCCGGGTGCAGATCACGGAATACGCGGACAGCTCTGGATCGCGCGCCGATCACCGCGCATCTGCCGAGAGTGTGAAGCGCACGAGGTCGCGAGCCAAGGCTATGAGTCCCAGCTATGCCCAGCAGCACAGCGCGGGCCCGGCGCACTGGAAGTGGTTCACCACGTCCGGTTAGAGCGCGATCAGGCTGCGTGAGCGTCAGCTTCACGCCTGGCCAGGCTGGTCGCCAGAGGCAGGATGTACCGTGTCGATTGGCCCGGGAGCGAGTCACCGGGTGATCTCCGCAGGAGAGCATCTAATCTACACCGGTTCATCTACGCCAACTGGCCCGCATACCAAGGACTATCGCTGGCGACACTACCTACCACGGGCCAAGTCCAAACGGGGCTACCGAGGTCGCCGGGGCGGGAGCCCAGCCTCCTTCATCAAGTTGCGTCGCCCCCTGTCCGAGCGCCCCCAGGAGGTTGCCCATCGCCAGAGTCCCGGTCACTGGGAAGCCGACCTGATGATGTTCCGCATCCGCAAACAGGTGGTCCTCACCCTCCACGAGCGCCACTCCCGCCTCATCATCGCGGCCCGGCCACCCACTAAAGCCGCCCGGCCCATCGCCCAGACCCTGGCCAACATCCTGGCCCAGATGCCAGCCCACTGGCGCCGCAGCGTCACCTTCGACAACGGCACCGAGTTCGCCCACCACTACCGGCTCCACGCCCTGGGTATCGAGACCTTCTTCTGCGACACCCACTCCCCCTGGCCGAAAGGGGGCGTGGAGAACGCCATCGGTCGCCTGCGTCGTAACCTGCCCCGCAAGACCGACCTGGCGACCCTGTCGCCGTGTCGGTTTGCCCAGCTGGTGCCGGCGTACAATAATACCCCTCGCAAATGCTTGGATTACCTAACCCCAGCCGAGGTCTTTCACAACCAACTGTTGCACTTCAAATGTGAATCCATCTTCCGGCCTGCGCCGGAACGATGGTTAGGCAACCGTCTCCTCTGGGAGCAAGCCATCAACCTGCGGCGATTTTGAAGAACCGGGCAGCACCAAACCCTCCAATATTGACGGCGTTTCTGGGATTTCGCGTCCGGCAACGTTGCAAATTAACCTAACCTCCCGGCATAAGTATTATAGGCAGTGAATATGTCGGATAGTACTGTCTCGCGAAGGAGACTATTGCCTGCCACGCCGATGCGGCCGCAACATTGGGCCGTAAGCAAGACTAAGGAGCAACTATACTGATGGTAGCCCATGACCCGTACGCAGTAACCGACATGTCGGAACTCCCTGAATCGGCGTTTGCGCCACGGGATTACCGCCGAGGCGATCTGGTAACCGGGGAAATCGTGCGCATTGATGCCGAAGGAATCGTCATCAGCGCCGGACTAAAGACCGAAGGAATCGTACCGCCCCAGGAAATGCGCACTTTGACCGACGAGAGACGGGCACTCATGCTGCCCGGCTCGCGTGTTATGGTCATCCACCTCAACAACCGGGGGCCGGGCGGCATGGCCGTCTTCTCATTTGACCAAGCCCAGGAAAAACAGGTTTGGGAAGATCTAATCGATCTGCACCAAAAGGACTCGGAAGTCGACGCCAAGGTGGTCCAGCACAATAAGGGCGGTCTGGTCGTTGACTGGAACGGCGTCCGCGGTTTCGTTCCCTTCTCCCAGATGGCGCCGGTGCCCAAGGAAGGGCGCATCGAGCATCTGGATGCCCGCATCGGCGAAGAGGCCCGTTTCAACATTCTGGAGTTGGATGCCCAACGCGAGAAATTGGTGCTGACGGAACGGCGCATCTGGCGTCAACTCCGCAACGAGGCCAAGGAACGCCTGTTGGAAGTGCTGGAGGAAGGACAGATTGTTCAGGGAACCGTGCGCTCCATGCGCGGTTTCGGCGCATTCGTCGACCTGGGTGATGCTGAAGGATTGGTGCCCATCTCCGAGTTGTCCTGGGCGATGGTCAAGTCGCCGGAGGAAGTGGTTAGCATTGGCGATGAACTCACGCTCAAGGTTCTCCGCGTCGACAAGGAAAACAGCAAGATTTCGTTGAGCCTGAAGCGGACTCAGCCCGAGCCTTGGGACTCAGTACCCGAGCGTTATCAGGTTGGCGACGTGGTTGATGGCACGGTTACGCGCCTGATGGATTTTGGGGCGTTCGTCAAGCTGGAGGATTGGGTCGAGGGTCTCGTCCACATCTCCGAGTTGTCCGCCCGTCGGATGGAACATCCCAAAGAGATCGTCTATCAGGGCCAGCAAATCAAGGTGCAGATCCTCAGCATCGACACGGAGCGCAAACGCATGAGCCTAAGCTACCGAAAGGTTTACGGCCTGTAGCCCACTGCCAACCCTGGAATCAAAACGGCCCGCTGCATCAAATTGCAGCGGGCCGTTTTTTGTTCGGGGACTAACGGGGTAAGCATCAACCGGGTGGCAAAGAACCCTGAATAACGTAGCCCGACGCAATGGGGTTTTCGCGTTGATCGGGTTCAGCGCCAGACTGCAGCACCCGCAATTTTTCCAGTCCCCGGCGGGTGTCGCTGGCGACCCGGGCGGGGTGCCACTTGTGGACGCGCTTTTTGAACAGCCAGTAGGTGAACTCCTGGTACGCCGTCAGAGACAACTCATTCAGGTCATTGCCCCACTCACCACCCGACACCGACAAAAATTGGTCGGCCAGTTCAGATTGAGTTGCCCCGTACAGATGCCGGTAAGCTTCCTGTACTACCGTTTCGTTATCCTGATAACACAGGGCCCGTCGGTTTTTGCGTATCGTGTCTTCGACCGCCAACTGCAGCGCTTCCTCCACCGTTACTCCGTACCAGAAATTCAGGTGCGCCGTGTAACGGTAACGGCCGATGCTGCTGCGGAATTGCTCCGGGTCAATATCCCGGGGCAATCGGCCCCTGAATAGCAACGCATCCAGCTCGGCCGGTGGAATGACGTCGGGAATTTCGGTGGTGAGGCGGTGCGCCAGCGTGATCCAGTCCAGCGCTTCGCCAGCAATGACATAGTGCCAGCGACGATGGGCGACGTCTTCCGACGCCAACGTCCATTCGCTGATTGCGCGTAGTATTGCCCGGTACCAGGGCTCGGTGCGGCCCGCATTGGTTCGCAAGCGGTCGATAACCCGAAGACTCGCAACGGTGGAGTCGTGGTTGTCCAGGTGGGGGCTGGCGACCAGGAAACCAACCTCATCAGCGACAGTGGTCATTCCGGCTACCTAGTGGCGCCCGCCGACACCATCGACGCGAAGTGGGCGGTTCGCCGCGGTTTGGGAGAACGCAGCCAGCCGAGGAATGCCTCCCGTGGGTAGGTATTCAGGATGTGCTCGGGGCCGCACCACGCGCGCCGGGCTACCGCCACGCCGAACCGCCGATTTACCAAACCGTCCACGTGGTGAGAATCGGTATTGATGACCAACGGGACGCCCAACTCCCGGGCGCGGGCGGCGTGGGTATCCTTTAAATCAAGGCGTTCGGGAGCGGCGTTAATCTCCATTGCAGTTCCGGTATCTCGGGCGGTCTGGAGCAATGCCTCAATGTCGAACTCCACCGGGTCTCGTCTCCCCAACAATCTGGTGGACGCATGGCCGATGACCGTTACGTAAGGGTTCTCCATCGCGCGCATGATCCGGTCTGTCATAACTTCGCGTTCCTGACTCATCGCGTTGTGCACCGACGCAATCACCCAATCCAGCATCGCTAGCACGTCGTCAGGAAAATCCATCGCACCGTCGGCGCGGATGTCGACCTCGGAGCCGCACAGGATGGTCATTCCATAGCGTTCCTGCAGCGCTTTTAGCACCCCGATCTGGCGTTCCAGGCGTTCCGGAGTCAGACCGTTAGCCACGCCCAGCCCTTGGGAGTGGTCGGTCAACGCCATGTATTCGTAGCCCATGGCCGCCACCGCTGCGACCATCTCCTCCAGGGGAAACTTGCCATCGCTCCAGTCGCTGTGCAGATGCAGGTCGCCGCGCAAATCAGACTCAACCAGCAATTCGGGCAGGCTCCCGTTGCGGGCGGCGTCCAGTTCATCGGAGCCGCGGCGCAATTCCGGCGGTATCCAAGGCAGACCCAACCGCCCATAGAACGACGCCTCGTCGGCAAACCGCTCCGTCTCGCCATTTTCAATTACAGTTATGCCGTACTCGTTCAGGGACAAACCCTGCCGGTTGGCGTAGTCCCGGAGGCGGATGTTGTGCTGCTGGCTGCCGGTGAAGTATTGCAGCATGGCTCCCATCGCATCCGGCTCCCCAATGCGCAAATCGATCTGGATGCCCGGGTCCACCACGACCGATGTCTTGGCGTCGCCTGCAACCAGGACTTCGCGAACCGACGGCAATGTCGCCAGCGCCGGGCCCGTCTCCTCGGGTCGTTCCGACACGGCTATGAGATCGAGGTCGCCGATCGTTTCTTCCCATCGGCGCAGCGATCCGGCAGCGGTAACGCTCACCAGGCTGGGGCACGCCTCAAACAATGCCGCGGTGATGGCCTCGCAGGTTTCGGTTGCGATACCCAACGGGGTACGGTCGGAGCGCATGCGTCGGGCCCGGATGTGCCGCAGGATGTTTTCCGCCGACCGCTTCCCCATGCGCGGCAGTTGCGCCAGCCGGCCATCCAGGGCGGCCATTTCCAGGTCGGCGATCGATCCGATGCCCAGCTCCTGAGTGGCTGCCTTGACGGTCTTGGGGCCCATGCCGGGGACTTCCAGCAGCTCCAGCACGTTGGCGGGCAATTCTTCGACCAAGCGGTCGTAAGCCGCCACGCGGCCGGTCGCCACATATTCCTGAACCTTCTCGCTGATGGCCTTGCCGATACCGGAAACTTTCCGCAGGTCTTCACCATCGGCAACAGCCGCAGCCAACGACCAGCTCAGTTGCTCAATGGTGTTCGCCGCGCGCTGGTATGCCCGGATTTTGAAAACCGAGTCGCCCTTGATTTCGAGCATCGCCGCCATTTCGTTGAACAGGCGCACGATGTCTTCGTTACTGATTCGCGTATTCATGGGATACTACAATAACACCGGCCCGCGAGCGTGGGCAAGCAGTGCTGTTCCGCTCATGCGTACCCACTTTAATCTGTCATCGCCAGGAGCGCCCGCTCATCCCGAGCTCGTCGAGGGACGTGGCAATCTCGATGAGACTGAACACACGTCGGCAAACCGCCGTTCCTACGGCAACGAGATTGCTACGCTACGCTACGCTCGCAATGACAAAGTGGGTACGCATGAGGCGCTGTTCCGCTCAGAATGCCAATATGGACGGGCGAAACGGACGCATTCGCCGGCACTCGGCCCACGAATCCCCCACCGGCGCCTACACCACCGATTCCGGTTTGACGACCGCCAATTTGCTGTATAGGATATATGGCTACGGCGCGCATTGCCCATCGGCATATCTACCGACCAGCGCCTTTGATGACACCATCGGTTGCACCCCCAAACCATGAAAGTTCAATCCAATTCGACCACGCTGGCGGCAAACACGCTGGCCGAGCTAATCATTCCCGGGTCCGACGGCGCAGCCCGCCTCGCCCGCGACATCGCGCTGATTGTCGCCGGCAGCCTGCTGGTAGCGTTGTTGGCCCAAATCAAAGTGCCGCTGGGATTCACCCCGGTGCCCATCACCGGGCAGACCTTCGCCGTGCTGCTAGTGGGCGCGCTGCTGGGCGGATGGCGCGGCGGGGCGGCGTTGGCTTTGTACGCTGTGGAAGGGGCCTTCCTGCCGTTCTTCGCCGGTGGAGCATCAGGCTGGTTTTGGTTGCTGCCCTCCGGCGGCTACATCGTCGGATTCATCCCGGCTGCGGCGCTCGTCGGCTACCTGTGTCAGCGGGGATGGAGCCGTCGGCCCTGGGTGCTGGCGGCCATGCTGCTCGGCAACGCGGCGCTGTACGTGCCAGGGCTGCTCCAGCTGAACTTTTTCCTGCCCGCCGACGCTGCCAGCGCCTGGGGTTGCGCCGACGTTTGGCAGTGCGGGTTGTTCCCCTTCATCCCCGGCGACCTCATCAAGCTGATTGCTGCCAGTCTGGTGGTGCCCGGCGGGTGGGCGTTGCTCGACCGATTCGCACCCCGGCCACATCCCTCAACCCGGCAACTCCCCTGAACCGGGCGCCTCTGCTGAACCCGGCAAAATTCCTCACCCTCTGACGCTGGCTGACTATGGACATTTTTACTGGCTGGGACACGCCTGCTTCCGACTACGCTCCTCTGCAACCGGGCTGGCGGTGATTACCGACCCGTACTCCCGGTCGCTGGGCGTGCACATCGACCCACGGCAAACGCAGGATGTGGTGGCGGTAACGGTGAGCCACGACGATTCGCTGCACAACGACGCCTCCGACCTGCCCGGCGACCCACGCGTATTCAATATGCCCGGCGAGTACGAATTCCAGGGCATCATCATCAGGTCCGTAATGTCGCCCTTGCCGGCCGATACACCGCGCGAAAAACGCAACGTCGCTTACACCGTTACCATCGACGGCTTGAACATCTGCCACTTGGGTAACATCACGCAGCCGCTGACCGCGCAGCAGATTGACCTGGTGGGCCCGGCCGACGTGGTGCTGGCTCCCGCCGGCGGCGCCGAACACGACCTGTTGTCCTACCGGGCCATCAACCAAACTGCGCAGCAGTTGGATGCCAGGTGGCTTATCCCCATGCACTACCGGGCCGGCGGCGAACCATCAACGATCGAGCCAGACAGTCCGCAGGCCTTCCTTCGAGAACTGGGCGTAGCGGAGGGCACCCTGGAACCCCAGGGCCGGTTGCAGGTAACGCGCAACAACCTGCCCCCAAGCCTGCAAATCGGCCTGCTGACGCCCCCAGTTCCGCCTGCTCTAGCGCTGCACCAGCGGTCGGGGAAGCCACCGCGCCTGGTTGGTGGTTACTGCTCGATGGCTTACCAGGTCAGACGGCGGCGGTAGAGGAGCACCGACCCTCCGGTCAGCGCCAGCAGCAATCCCAGCACGATTACGAACCCCGGCAGCAGTGGCACGCCGCCGATCCGGAAGGTGGTCGCGGCGAAGGCCTGCGGCGAATCCGATGGCAACAGGCCCAGATCGGCCGGGTTGGGCACCGTCAAATCGGTTGTGAACCACCTGGGTGGTTCGTCCACCGGAGCTGCGGCGACCTCTTCCTGCTCCTCCACGCCGGGCACAGAGGGAACGGCGGCGAAGCTCAGGTGCAGCTTGCGAGTCTGGGCGCTGCCCAGGAACAGCACCGCCTGGTCGGCGCGCACCCGATTCTCCTCGCCCACCAGCCAGAAGGTAACCACGTCGCCGTCGACCCCGGCGTCCGCATCGGACTGCTCGCGAGCAACCTTCAGTCCCGCGTAGCGTCCCTCGGACCCCACCGTTACCGGGTCGCTGACGTACCCAGCTTCGCAGCCGCCGAGGCAGGCCACCAGCAGCAACCCGTCGGGCGTAAGGTGGCCGGCGGCGAAGGCGTGGGCCTTCAAAAACATCCCACTGGCTGGCATTTGCGCCGGGGCCGGCTCCCGCTGGTTCGCCGCCATCGCCGGCGTTGCCCACCTTGATGGCGCTTTCTCCCGGCGGATCATCGGGGCCGGCTCCCAGCGCGCCCAGCAGCGAAACCAGCAGCAACGCCACCATTGCGGCCCTAAATACCATCCTGCTTGCGTGAAAGCCTCTAACCATTTGCTGCATAACCGCGCTCCCCTCCTGGCGACCAAACTGACATCAAACAACCGATGTGCGGTTACCCTGAATCTTATCCAACCAACGCCACCGTCGCACAGCGTGGCGATTGCGGGTTTAGCCGAAAACGTCCGCCTAACAAACGAGATTGCCACGTCGCTACGCTCCTCGCAATGACAGTCTGTAAGAGGGTGTGTGACAAAGGGGTTTAGGTGGGCCGAAGCCTTTTGAGCATGAGATGGACCATGGCGATATGAACCCAGGCTTCGCTGGTCTCTGTTCGCTCTTCATAGTCTTTGCTCAGCCGACGGCATCGACCCAGCCAAGCCAGGGTACGTTCCACCACCCAGCGACGGGGCAGCACTTCGAATTGGTGGCTGTCCGGGTTGCGCCGCACCACGGTCAGCAGCCAACCGCCGGTAGCCCAGGCCCACGCCACCAACCGGCCCGCGTACCCTGCATCGGCCCAGATGACCCGCAACCGTGGGAACCGGCCCAACAGCTTGGCCAGCACCAGCTTGGCGCCGTCCCGGTCCTGGATGCTGGCAGCATGAACCACCACATCCAGGAGCAGGCCCATGGTGTCCACTACGATGTGGCGTTTGCGTCCGGCAACCCTTTTTACCGGCATCATAACCCCGCGGCCCCCTTTTTCCGTGGTCTTCACCGACTGGCTGTCGATGATGGCCCCGCTGGGCGTGGCTTCCCGTCCCGCCGCTTCCCTGACCCGGACGCGCAACGCTTCCTCTACCCCTTCCCACGTCCCGTTATCGCGCCACTTCCGAAAGTACCACCAAACCGTGCCCCAGGGTGGCAGGTCATGGGGCATCAGACGCCAAGGTATGCCGCCACGCAGCACGTACAGGATGCCGTTGACCACTTCCCGCAAGTCCACGGTCCTGGGATGCCCTCTGGTCTTATCTGCCGGCAACAAGGGCTCCAATTCCTCCCACTGGGCATCGGTCAAATCACTGGAATAAGGTTTTCTCCTCATTCTCCCAGCGTAACCACCAGCTCACTCTTACCCCAAGAACCCCTGGCGCGCGTTTGGAGCATTGCACACACCCTCTTAGAGAATTTTCATTGCGAGCGTAGCGTGGCAATCTCGTGCTCGAGGGGTACACGTCAGACTTGGTGAGGTGAAGTGGCCGAAGGCGGGTGCGTGTTGTGTTGCCGACGCGGCACGGTGCGGGTGATGTTCATATACATGACTGGATACTGAAGTTGACCTCACCACCGTCGACCGCGCTGTGCTGATTGCCATCATCGCCGAGTTACAGGCGGTGATTGAGCGGTTGCAGCGGCGGATTGCCGAACTGGAAGGCCAAGCCAAATCGGGTGGCCCACCCCGAATGCCCGGCCTCAAGCCCAGTTCGGGCCGCCAGCCACCGGCACAGCAGCAGCCCCGCAAGCAGCGACGCCACGGCTTCGCCCGCCCGCGTATGACACCGACCCATCGGGTGGAGCACGTGATGGAGAACTGCCCCGATTGCGGCGCCCACCTGTCCGGCGGCTGGACCCAGCGCACTCGGGAAGTCATCGAGCTGCCGGTGGTTCCGGTGCAAGTCACCGAGCACGTCTACCTTGCTCGGACTTGCCCGGCCTGCCGACGGCGCTGCACACCTCCGGCGGTACTGGACGGCGTGGTCCTGGGCCAGCAGCGCCTCGGCGTCAACCTGCTCAGCCTGATCGCCACGCTGCGGGAAGAGGGGCGGCTGCCCATCCGCAGCGTCCAGTGGTATCTGGACACCGTGCATCAGTTGCGCCTCAGCGTGGGGGCCATCGTGAGCGCCATTCACCAGACCGCGCAGCGGGCCCAACCAGCGGTGGCCGCGATCCTGGACCGCATCCGCGCCAGCCCAGTGGTCCACGCCGACGAAACCGGCTGGCGCGAGGACGGGGCCAATGGCTACGTGTGGACTTTCAGCACCCCCACCGAACGCTACTTCCTGCGGCGGGGTCGGGGCAAGGCGGTGGTGGACGAAGCGCTGGGCGAGTCGTTCTCCGGAGTGCTGGTCAGCGATTTCTACGCCGCCTACCACCATTATGACGGCCCCAAGCAGCGCTGCTGGGCCCACCTGCTGCGGGACATCCACGACCAGCGCACCCGCTACCCCAAAGACGCCGCACTGGCCCGATGGGCCGCGGCAGTCCACCAGCTCTATGTCGCAGCCAAAGCCTGCAACCATCACGAGCCCATGGCAAAGGCGTGTTGCCCAACTGGCCTGGGAGCGGAAGCTGCTGGCCATCTGCCGCCCTTTCCTGTCTGACCCGTCGGCGGTCCAGGGCAAGCTGTGCCGGCGCATCGAGCGCCACATCAAGGAACTCTTCGTCTTCGTGGCCGAACCGGACGTGCCAGCGGACAACAACCCGGCCGAGCGCAGCCTGCGCCATCTGGTTATCAGCCGCAAGGTCAGCGGCGGCACCCGCTCGGAGCAGGGCACCGAGAGCAAGATGACGCTGGCATCCCATCTTCGGCACCTGGCGCGCCCAGGTC